AAAACGTGGGCTGTGATTTGGCTTAAAGACGGAGAAATGTGCTCGCTTATAACGCTAATCGTTAGCGTCAAAAAGAGTGCGGTAGATATGGTTCATTTGTAAAATCGTGACGAAGGATTTGACTGCGGACTTCGCGTCCACAGAAGCATAATACCCTCATACAAAAAGGCATCACCTCAACATTCAGCTCAGTCACTTCCAGTGTCCAAGTACTATCACATCTAAGCAGAAAAACCAGTCGACTATAAATTAAAACCAAGAAAGTGCTGTTTCCAGAAGGTGCGTGCGTGTAGCGTGCGGTCCTCAGACAGTCGAAGGGATATAGTAGAGGACAATAATCATGGATCGAGCTGAATGGGGGGGGGGGGAAGAGGTACCATGCTAATTACGAGTATAGTCTTTCCTATATCGATCTATTCTGAAATGTGGTTCTCCTTAAGGTGAAAATCTCATCTGCTAAAAATTCGCTGACCGGGACGCCTTTCTGATCACCAGTGAATAGTCTCACTCTGTATGTGGACTTCACTAGAAAAAAGGAACATCTGTGAATTCCATTAGCAAACCCGCGATGTTTCCTTCGCGCAGAAATCAGTAGCGTAAACAGGCTTTGGGCACTTTTTTGTTCGAAGAAAACAGGGATGCACTCAACAGCTGCAGCACACTTGAGGAAACGACAAGGAAAACCACTTTTCGCAGAGTGGAAATTCCGTCTGTAGAGCGTTGCTGTAATACTCTAAAAACTCCATTCCAGTAGAAGAAAGAGCAAAAAATTTAGTTTTTTGTGCTAATGAAGTAGCAGCACAGAACAGAATAGATTGTTTTATGATCAGTGAGTTGGAATTCTACAGTATGATCTTTGTACTCAAATTATCTAACAAGTGTGTCGAGTTGAAGTGGCCTTTCCAGATGAGACCCACACTGCTTTGAAGAGCATTAATCGTTGATTTCAAATCTGCTTTCCAAATCTGCCAAGCGCCTCTGGACGCTGAGTTATGCTCGTTTTTCAGGTCAAAAAATTGGACGCAAAACTGAAGCAAAATCGCCCAAATTTGCTCAAATGTTCCAGTCTCTGCTCAAATGGTCCAGTCTTAAGTCTTACATTTTTACGCGCACATGTGATCTTCACCGCAGAAACGTACTCAAATGTACCTTTTCATAGCAGTAAACTCGCATCATCAGTGGACGTATAACTTCACATGCGAAGGTGAGTAAATAGATTTCACATAAACAGTAATAACAATCCTGGAAGCAGTATTTGGCTGCAGTATCAATATCTATACCTGTATCGAAGAGGTTTCAAGGATATTGCTTCACTGCAAATTTATGACCGGGTTTGTAAGGTTAAGTCAATTATGTGTCCTTTTGGAGGTCATATCCGTGAGTCGCGCTTTCCATCTTTCGTGACAGCTTTTATTGAGCATGCACCAATATCTATCTTTACAGATTCTGTGCAAAAATGACTTTTGCGCATTTGCTTTCCAGTATTGCGAAACTTACGAAAGATGAAGAGTAATGAAATGTGTTTAGTCTACATTTATAAGCATAAGCAGACTGGACGAACAGCTTTTCGCTCTTCCTCGCATCGCATCCCTTTGCGTCTTACCTCAGGCGCAAATCGCAGAAAGCACTCCCAGTTGAAACAGTCTGTGTGCTTACCGGAAGGTAATGTCACGCTGCATTTTATTTACACTACATTGTCTCAGAAAGTGAGATTTTTGTTCAAAGAAAATTTATAATCTAAGGGTGGTACTCTAGTCCAGGTAACATAACATCAGCCTCCTCATCCCATACAGTCGAATCATTTCAACTGCAGCGTTTTTCTCACCAGGAAAGACACCCCTTAATTTGGATTGGCCTATGAATAAGGCCTATGACACATTAGGTTGTCTCATAATTAATGCACGTTTTTCTAACCTCTTTTTGAAAAAGTTGATTCCCAAAGGAAAATCATGATTCTCCATGACTATTTATAATGTCTGAAAGCGCGATTTAGTTTCTGATCTGCGCTTTTGTTTTCGCACATCTTTGTTTAAGCGGAGGTTTCATGCCTTGGAAGATAATTGGCAAAAACAAAATTCTTTCGTTGTACATTCCATCTTTCGTTTCACTCTCGCTGCTCCAAAACGGTCGAAATTTATCTGAAGAATATGCATAAGAATTGCGAAGTTCTTTTTTGCTGCAAAGTGGTCAGCAATATTGAATTTTTGAAAAATTTTGAGCCGAGGAACTTTGACTCCAACATGGCTGATCGCCGAGACCCGTTCTATGCTGTGTATGAATCTCAAGCAAAAGCGATTGCACAACTTCTCCCACCTATGGGCTGTCTTCCCATATTCAAATAGTGGGTCAATGGCGCATAAATAAGCTCACAACTCTCTTCAGAATAGCGCTTCGCAGCTGAGAAACTGATTGCGATATATGTGTCTTATCTCAACGGTTGACAACCAAGCATTTGGGCGAAACTCTCAATAACGTTTCTCGCGCATTTTGCGCGTGCATACGCGCGTATGCACGAAATCATTGAGTGGGAGAAATGGTAAGACTCTGTGACAATACTATGAATTTTTCTGCATCGATTTCCCCTTTAGTAATAGGTAAATCTGGGAAATCTCTCTTTAAGAAGAGCGGTAATATTGAGGGTTTTTCGTCTGCATTCATTCTTGATCTCTCAGAAGAGCTAAAAAAATTTCCGCCTTCTCAAAACATAATTAGCATACTTTTATCACATCAAAAATGGACTGAATAAATTTGCGGTCTAGACATAGCTACCGCAGTGCCCTATTCTCAGACGAGGAGCCATGTACGTATTTTTACTGCGAATTTTTTCGCAAACTTTGCTCATGCTCTTACTTTGGTACCTCCTCAAGAATGCATGCAATCTACGTCATACTCGCATAATGCTTGTTATTCGCTTTTTTCTGCTCCGGAAGTAGCTCAGGAAGGCTTTTCAAGACAATTTCTTCATGATTGCGGTGCCTTGTTTCTGCTAAACTTCCTATATGAGAAATTTTTTTTTATTCATAGATAATCTGTTTGCAAGAAATTCATTTTTTCATGTCTATTGCTTGCGAACGCTTTAGCAGAAGATTTAGTATGACGTCAGACTTAGGGCTCGGCACGAGGTGGCTAGATGAAAGTGCAAAAAACGAAGTCCCCCTTGACTTTTGGGAACTTTACGAATTTTACGCCCTTTGACCCTCAACCACATTCCCTCTAAAAACTTTTAAAAAATCTCCAAAAAAAAGAAACGTCGACTAAAAAAATAAACGTTGCCAATTTTGCGTGTTCGGCCACAAAAACGAAACCCCTTTGCTTTTTGTCCCAAAAACGATATCAGCTTGCTTGTAAGCCACCTGTGCCGAGCCCTGGTCAGACTTCGTCCCCCTCCCCCTCCCCCTCCTCGAATTCGAAGGGGCGACGAGTTGGCCCATATGCGTTTATACATTTATGGCTGGCCTCGTTTCAACCCACAATTGGTTTTTTTCGCCGTCGCGGAAAGGGCAGACGGTAGTGCGGAACGCGTCCAATGGGCTGAGTGCTGGTGTGTGTGTGCGAGCCGGGGCGGGATCCTGACGGGTGACTGCGTTCTCTTTCGAAAAACGTCCCTCCATTTTCTGGGCTTCCCTGCACTTGCACGATTGCGTAACACTTTCGAAAATCCTCTTGCACTATTTAAGGCTTCATGATAAGCAGCTGTGTTACTCCCTGTCTAGAGTACAGGGGAATTTCTCAGTTTTTTTGTAGCTCTTAATGGCATCCAACACTCACCTTCTGCTCTTCAAAGAAAAGGAGTGGAAGGGGGGGGGGGGAGGGGGAAGGCAGCGAAAATCTAAGGCGAAGCAAATTTTCGAAATCAAATAGCAATACAAATGTCGCAAAATAGCACAGCGATCTCATAGCACTTTCGTATTCATCTTTCTTCAAGTTTGAATTTGTTCACTTTCTAAAACATTTTTGAGGAGGGCGTCAGTGGAGACAAGTTGATTTTACTATCTAAAAAGTGAGGGTTCATTTATTTTTGTTTTCCAAAAGTCTACAATTTTTCCTATAGAGACACCAATAGATCTTTGAGCCATGCCCTTTAATACGTCTTTTCATACGGTTAATCACTTTATACTTGAACTGCTCCTTTTTCTCAAAGCACTGTAAGCAAAAACTGTAGAAGGGAATTTTAAAGGTTGACTTGGATCTATATACCTTGCTCATTGAGAAGCTAGAATTATTTCATTGCTCCATAAATCTTGACAAGGACATGAAAATTGTCAAAGGTCCTAATTTGTGACTATCCTGAACGACATCTTATCAACACAAATTTTTCTTATTTAGAAGGACTAGGTCAAAAACTAACAATTAATAAAATTTATCTTGTCCTTGTACGCGATTTTTACTACATTTGGAAAAGTTTTGTTTTGGAATCGTCATGAAAATTTTGGTGCAAGTCTCATGGAATTAACTCTAAATACACTGCGGCTTGCATTTTCAGTTCATGTTTGATGATCTATGTACGTAAAATTCATGGAGAAAAAAGGAAATATTCTGCTAAACATCTACATTTTTTCGCACTTCTGTTTCACCCTCGATTTTTCGAAAATTTACTCATTCAGCTCTTTTGCATTGCGATATTTACGGATTAGCAGACCTTTGTTTGAACAGTTTCAGTCTCCAAACTGTTCCAATTTTCCGTGATAATCCTTCTGTAAAGAAGCTCTTTCACCGAGCTGCTTCTCACTGCTTTTCGCTGCTTTTTCTCCTCTAACTATATGATAACCCCTTTCCACACCGACCTAAATTTACGTTCAAAAAGTTCACGTTCAGTGCAACTTCGTTTACGTTGTCTAGTAAGCTTAGAGGGTAATTCAGACATTTGTTGGCCGACGTTACTGGAGCGGAAGTTATTTGCTAATGTTGGCCTCCACCTTGCCCTCTATGACATTTTGCCTCGTTGCAGCGTTTATTCACAATTTTTAGCAAATCTCTCAAGGAGATAATTTGACCTTTACAGAAGCGGAGACGAAGAAGCAGCTTTGGAGAAAATATCGCCAGAATGATGATGGCCGAAGAGAGGGATTTTGTGATCGCTCCTAGCCCCATCGACGATGATTCTGTAGGTGTTTTTTTGCTAGTGAATGGCTCTAGCCCCATGCGAATCTTGTTTTCGTCTAGCAAGTGCCCTATTCCAATCCAACTCTTTTTACGCTCGTTTCCTTGGTTACCTGTTCCCATTTCTCTCTAGGGATATCCCCGCTTTTTGCGCTGTCCGAAAAGTGTGTAACATTCGCTATCGTTTCGTAAATGCCAGACGTTTTCGCATGTGCGCTCGGCAACCAGCTGCTCGCACTGCAAGTTTTTCCTTCTCGAAAATTCTTTCACACTTCTTTTTGCGAAGTTCCAGATTTTGGTATTTCCATAGTTTTTTTCCATTCCAATCGTAATCCCTTTGGACTTTTGCTGAATCAGCTAGTCCTTTGCAGCGAGCAACTCGTTCCTTTCTTCTATTCTCGGGGGCTCGATGTGGTTTGTCTGCCTATCGAACGAGTTGCCCTTTTTGTGTGGCAGCCGAGCTCTAGCAAACGATGTCCCTGCAAAAATAGCCGCAGTCTAGCTGGAAAGACGACACCTCGAGTTTTTTGCTTTTTCAGGACTTTTTCAATGCTCTGCGCTCTCTCTAGAGAATTCTGTATATTATTTCTGATATCTTCTGCAGCAGATTCTAATTCAAACATAGTCATTTGATACCTCTAGTTTCCTTGCCGTCAGAATTGTATTAGGTTGGCTTACATAATGGTTACTTTTGTCTTGCTAATGCTAAATTATTGTGAAGCTTCTTTGGATGAATGTGCAATTAATGAAAAGAGTGACACGAACAAAATGAAGGTAAATTCTATTTGAGTTACAAGATTTCTGACAAAGAAATGCCGCAATAAAGTAGGAAACACTTCTAATTTTGTTCATTAAATTCTTGGAACTAGGTCTTGAGGATTGAATGAATGCATGTTAAAGATGAAAATGTATATACAGTGCTGGCCAAAACTATAGATCCACTTCAAAAACTGCCGTAACTCATCTGCTTCTCAACGAATTGTTCTGAGATTTGGTATAGCTGTGTGTTTAACAGGCTTCTATCAGTGACCGGAGCGGATCCCGCTTTCGTTCAATTATTAAGGAAAAAATCAAAGATCTTGAAAAAAAGCAGGCTTGAAGGTTGGCCATAACTATAGATCCACCTAGAGTTTCTGTTTACTAAAGTAGCTCTCGGCTCCCAAAGTCTTATGTGCATATACATAGTCAAAAGTCAAAACACTCGTTTTAGTCCAGCTGTGTCATACCTTTATAAGAAACGCTTATCTGCTTTTTTTGCATAAAAATACTTTCATGTGTATTTTGTTACCGAGAACGTATTTTTGTAGGTGATTCCGCAGCTTTTTTCAACTGGTTTGGAAGCGATAGGGCTTCATCCATCTTATAGATGCCTAAAGAAGTGAGCACTAGAAAAAAAACTCAAGTTCTCGTATTCAAAGCGCACCCGACGTAGACCTAAACGCAGGTCTGCGCTCAAATTTATGCCTTCAAACTTTTCCTGCAATGTTATCATGAGCGTGAAACGAAGTAATGACATTGTTTGTACATATGAGGGTCTGTATGCAGGGTTGCAGATTGTTGCATGTTTTAGCATTCAGGCTAATTGAGGAATTTATCCTGCAAAAACTGATTAGCAACAAGCTTTAAAGTTATTTTTGGTTCTGATCATAATGCTCTTGTGAGTCAGAGGCAAACATACAATACAGGGTGTTTTCAGTATTTGGCAGCTTATTAGTTGCAAAAAATTAGGAAAGGCACCACTTGATAAGTATTTTGGGAATGTCTTACATTATCATTGAACCGCGAAAGATGTGCCTCGTTTACGAAGCAAAGTGCGACTTCGCGAACAATCGTCATTATAGTGTACATTTTTCTTTTTATGTAAATAATGTATCCACATTATTTAGAGCTTACAAACATAGCGTAAGCCTAGTTTTGAAGGTAGAAATTTGAGCGCAGGCTTGCTATGAGGTCTATGCTATGTGCGCTTCAAATACGAAAACTCAAATTTTCTTCTAATGCTCACTTCGCTAAGCATCTATAAGTCAGATGGAGACCTATCGCTTCCATCGCTTCCAAACCAGTTGGAAAAACTGCAAAAACACCCCTAGAAACATACTGTGAAACTGACAAAATACGCGTGAAAGCATTTTTGAGTGAAAAAAAGCAAATAAGAGTTTCTAATAAAGATATGACGCAGCTGAACTGAATCGGCTGTCTTGACTTTTGATCATGTATATGCACCAAAGATTGTGGAAGTCGAGAATGACTTTGGTGGACAGAAACGTTAGGTGATCTATAGTTTTGGCCAGCTTTCGAGCCTGCTTTTTTCAAAAAATTTTGATTCGTTCCTGAACCATCAAATAAAAGCGGGAATCGGTTCTGGTTACTGATAGTAGCCTGTTAAACACACCGCTATACCAAATTTCAGATCAATTCGTTGAGAAGCAGATGAGTTACGGCAGTTTTCAGAGGTGGATCTATAGTTTTGGCCAGCACTGTAGATATGGGTTACATCCGCTTGGTCTATATGGTCAAACTAGCTGGCTTACCCGGCTCCGCCGTATCCGGACCAAACTTGGCACACATACACTTCGGGCCCCGGCGGGTGTCACAGTCCACTTTTCGTTATCGATCGATGTCGATTTTACCGATTTTTATCGATTTTTTTGCAGAGTTCACCTACAGGGCTGGGAGTTCGCACAGGGGGGTAATCGAGCATGGGGATTCCGAATACAATATTGGTTTTCAGAATTATCGATTGCTTATATTGATTTTATCGATTTTTTGTAAATTTTGACATGCGAGGCTGGGATTTTGCACAGGGGCATAATCGAGCATGCTGATTACGAACACAATATTAGTTTTCAGGATCGTCCGTTACTTTTATCGATTTTATCGATTTTTTTTTAAAGTTTGACCTGCGGGGCTGGGAGTTTGCACATCTGATCAAGCACATGCACATCTGATCAAGCATGCTGATCATCCCCTTGGGGATGATCAGCATGCTTGATTACCCCCCTGTGCTAATTCCCAGCCCCCTAGCTCAAACTTTGCAAAAAATCGATAAAATCGATAAAAGTAATCGATAATCCTGAAAACCAATATTGTATTCGGAATCCCCATGCTCGATTACCCCCCTGTGCGAACTCCCAGCCCCGTAGCTCAAACTTTGCAAAAAAAATCGATAAAATCGATAAAATCGATATCGATCGATGACGAAAAGTAGCCTATGACACCCGCCGGGGCCCGAAGTGTATGTGTGCCAAGTTTGGTCCCGATCGGTTCAGAAATGGAATTTTCTATTCGGAACATACGTACAGACATACATACATACATACATACATACATACATACATACAAACAGACATTCAGCTTTATATATAAGATTCAAAAACTGAGTTGCTCCAAAATAAGATTTTAGCGCACAAACGCGAAAAATTCAGGTTCCTGAGTAGAAATTCCAGACGTTGTTAGTCAAATAGCCGGAGCTTGTATTATCAAGGCATGGAAAGTTTTGAACTCAAAAAGTGATTTTTCAAAAAATTTAGCTGGGACGTAATCGTACCTCGTTACAAACGGAAGATTCTGTGCTGGTTTGGACTGATGGTAAAGACTCGAATTGCCTCTTCACAGAAATTGGAGCTGCGTAACAAATGCATGCCAAAACCAAATCGTGTTTGGGGCAACCTGCTCTTATAAGTTTTTTTCTCTGGTCCCTTTTTCATCGGAATGATTTACTAGAAGTAGAATGAAAAGAATTTCTTGCACCAAGGTTTCGAAAACTGTTGACTAGATCCTTTAACGTTTTCAATCGGTTCACCATTAATTGCTATTTTTCGAAAAAAGGGTTAATTGGTTTATATACCAGAGTAATTGTGCGCATTTATATGGTCATAAATATTTAGTAGTCTAATCAGCCAGGTAGTTCTTCCATAATCTTGTGGGCTCTTCCATTTGTGGCCTGCGTGAAAATTATCTACATATGTCTGGAGAATATAAAATTAGATACCGTGTGATGCTAATATAGAAGTAATGATCATCATCAAGCTCCTCCCAAAACAATATCATTATTTTCGTTGTCTGCCAATAAATTGCTCATGCATGATGCTTCCTGTTTATTTGCAATGTAGTGGATTATTTACTCAGCTTTTCGCTATGACGACTTTGACATAATTTTCCTTTACTTTTTCAAAGCTCTTAGTGTTATAGTTGCACTCGATTCAGTTGAAAGGTTGTAAGCTACTTTGCCATTGTGAATGGCGATATTTGACCACTTCATCAAAATTTCTTTGCTAACTGCTTGTTAAAGATATCAGAAATAGGAATCTGTCTGGAGAAATTACCACGCCTTTTGGACTTAAACTTACTTGTAAACGTGTGAATCACTAATGCTTCGTGACATTAATGGGGCAAGAAGTGATAGCGGAATCAGTGTAAGTCGGATCCTGCGCTCTTTTTGCAAATTGTTATTTGAATTTTTTTGCTGTTATGGTAATGCAGCGATTCGACTCCGCGCTATAAATGGTGTTCTCATGCTGATCAAACAGCTTTTCGTGAACTCTAAGTAACGCTCAGCACAAATACATAAGTTAGCAAATCGTAAATCCCAAATAATCACAATGATCATAAAATTCTCCGAAAATTTCCCAATCTGCATCATATATGCAAAAAGAGAATTAAGGAAAAAAGAGTTTCATGAGGCGGGTAATTGAGCAAGGAAACAATACTTAATCTTGATTCTTAGCTGCTGTTAGACTCCTATTTTTCAAAAAAAAACATCATTCAACATGTGATTGGTTTCTATAGTATATGATATATTGTCGCTCACGAACAACAACACAAATTCTAAGCGCTCGATTGTGTTTTCATGAAATGAGACGCTAAAATTTTGCTCATCACGTTTGCTATCTGCTTTGCTTGACTTATCGTTTTGCTAGATCTTTGCTCATTGGGGAAACCCCTCCCCACCAGATTTCACTCGAAAAGTCAACAAAACACCAGCTATCCCCACATCCAATCGTGGTTTTTGATGAATTATTCACAAACATTAGCTATATTTTGCAGCTGGGTCTGTGCAATATTGTACTTTTTTGCAGCAGCTCACTGTCTAGACCTATTTTATTTGGATTCTCCCAGTATAAAATGAGAAATGTCATTCTAGAATTACCATACTCATTCGTTATTCGCTTGACATCCGCCCCATCACGAAAACATCGCATCTCTTATGCATTTCTTAGGGATAAGGCATTTCGTCCCCTTTGTCGTCTTGCAGAGTAAAAATGTCAGCTTCTAGAAGCTAAGCTAATCTGAGCTGAGCCATTGAGCAGTCAGTGAGTCGTCCGCGAGTCCCAGCATTTGCAACTAACATCACTTTAGTCAGTCAACTTCCCTATTCTGTTCATATGGAAAAAAACAGAAATGGAGATTCCTTTCAAAAAAAGAGAGATGTATTGTTGCAAATGTAGACTTTTCACGACTCAAAAGCCTTATTCTCAGGTAATATGACAAATAATATGATAGATGAGCAGCTCGAACTTTTCTTGAAATATCTCAGATTTGCAATGATTCTACGATTTTGGCTACAGTTTTTGTTGAACAATGAGGAATGGGCTTTGCTTTTGTGTGATTTCTCTTCTTACGAAATCGTGGAAAGCGAAATTCGAAGCGATAACGAGTAACGTCACACACATCCACAAACACTGCTTACTCGAGTTCGTCAACAAGCCTAGACATATCCACAAGCATGGGAAGGTCTCTATCTGGCTGTTTTTTGATCCTCTATCTGTGGTTGTGAAACCTTCTTACTCCTTTTTTAGACATTGTGAAACTCTCCTATTCCTTTTTTGGACATTGTGAAAACTGCGAAGCTGAAAACTGCGAAGCAAGTCACCTTTATTTTTATCCTGGGCAATGATTTTGAGCTTTTTTACTCAATAAATTGATCTGGCTGAGTTACGCTCTCAGTTTATGAAACTCTCGCATTTCTCTTTTTCAAGCTTATGAAAAATTGATATTTGTACAATAGAAGTTTGTTCAGTTTTTGGAGGCAATCTAAAAGAACCCTTCCAAGCACTGTCTTCACTTATATTTCAGATTTTGTAATGTAGAACTAACTCTATGAAGGCTGATTTGCTTGAAATTTCCCGCAAATTCGGACATTTTGGAAAGTTGCTTCTTTTTCAGTAAAATATTCGGTTTACCCGTTACGGAAATGTCCTTCACATACGGTGCACTTTCAAAAGTGCACTCACAAAGCTAATTTCGAATCTTTTGCATTGCTATTTCTCCTATCGATCATAATCGCACAATTCTGTCTCAAAAGGAGCCATGATATCCATTTTCTTCAACTATTTCTTCTTTAATTGAAAAAATTCTTTTCTCAAATTTTTTTGATTTACTTCAGGGATTTCTAGCCCCTTAACAAAGGTATTCTCTTTCATTACGTTGGATCTTTGATCACGGATGTTCTCTCTCAAAAAGAATAGTCGTTTCACAGACATAAAAGTCAGTGGCAGTTTACCACTGTGAAGAGTCGATTTACGATTTCAACGTCTGTCATGCTACTAAGAATCCGCGTCAAGCGAGCTTATTGCAAAACTGGGGACTCCATACTTTCCTATTTTCCACTTCCTATCCTCGACGCCAAAAAGTCGTTTCTGAGCTCAGACTTTGTTCAAGCTATTAACGCTGTTTTATATGTACTAACGCATGAACACAGGTGGAGTTATGTCAGTAATTATTTTCCTTTCAAAAATTTTTCTTTTTCCCGTTCTTAACGACTTTTCGTAGTTAAATTAACGGTTTGAATGTTTAGTACTTAAGTTATAGCTTGTTCAATATTTAAGATCTTAAAGTTAAGTCTTATTTCTTACTGGCATACAAGAGGCTGAGGATCTCAGCCATATTTTTCCATTATGCTACTTTCCAAAAGATGCATCGTCTCCAGCTTCTTCGCTTTTTCCCTTATAGATTTCCAGAGACAACTCATCGTCTTGACACGGAACCTGTCCCTCCTCAACTACTTCATCGTTTAGATAGGCCTTAACAAGAACCAACCCTCCTCCCGTGGTCGCTCAGTTTTTCGAGCCGCTCCTCGGTCCACACATTTCTCTCGTTTTCGTATCGCACTGCTGCCGCTGCTCGCATCGTCGTTACTGAATGCGAGATTTGAATCTCAGGCAACCTAGGCACAGCACTTCACCTAGTGAATTTCATTGCAAATGCACCTAAATCAGCTTTTTTCAGATGAACATGCCACTCCTGGGCCAGTCGCCGCCCAGCGAAGCGCACTCTCAGCACAACTGTGAGTCTATTTGTTTGATTGCCCTACTGACAAAAATGAAGGGAAAAATTGCTTATGAACGATACCAGCTTGTACGAGCTTTTTGTAAGAAATCAAAATGAAGAAAACAATACGGGACTCGAACCTGGTAGCGTCTGCCTATCGGACTGTTGCACTAACCACTACACCAACTGCGTTAATTGAACCACCCTACTAGTTTTAGAACTGACGGTGCTCATAAAAAACCTTTGTGATTTGTCGCCCAGAAACGTTTAGCAGACAATGAAAGTAGATCTGGAATCAGTGTTTCATGCCCTTCAAAAAACACCATAACATTTCGACCTCCCACTTCTCTGACTGCAACTGTCTCAAGTCCAACTTCTGTCGCTTTGTTGGCCGCCATTGACCAAGGTCTTCTCCCTTCTTGCGCAGTTTTTTTTTATGATGAACAAATTCCATCGCAAGCACGTGATAACGCTGGAATTCCCCTCTAATCGCATAAATCGCCGGGGTTTACCCCCACACAGACGTCAGCGATGAGAAACGCAGAACTTAAGCGTGAGAACAAACACTGAGTGACTTACTCGCAAAATTTGAACATTTGCCAATTCTTCTGCGTGGAAAACGGGCTACAAGGGACAGAAAAAATTGCAAATTGAGGGCTTTACATATACAGAAAGATGAAAAAAAGATAGAAAATGCAAATTTCAAATGAGAGAATCTCTCGTAAGGTCTTCTTTTTTGAATCTTTTCAATTTACAGACGTCTTTCGCGTGATTTTTTTTTTCATACATTCGCTAGAATTTGCTATCATGACTTATAATAAGCGGCTTAATCTGAAGTTGTGTGGAGTTTGTCCGTTACGAAATTACAGTGAGGAATGATTTACGATACTAAACATCATGTGAGGTTAAGATAGCGAGTATGGTTCATTTTTAACTGCGGCTCACGAATAAACCGAACAATGATTTGAGAGAAAAGCTTCCAGAAAGTGAGTTTACCACGGTTCACGATGCCAGTGCGAACCTCTGCGAAGCAGAGGTGAAGCACTGGTTATCTATAATTAGGCATCACCGAGCACAATATCTCAACTGTGATAAATTAGAGTAAAAAATTGCAAAAGCACACCTCATCAGATGCTTGTGGGTTTTGCTCGGATATATTATATAACTAGAACAAAAGATAACAATAACAAAAAGGACAACAAACAAAATGAACAAAGAACAAAAATGAATGAACAAAACTGTGTAGAACAAAAAAAATTGAAACTTGCAAATCATTCAAAGATCTCTCTCACGCATGACCTTCATTTCTCAATTGGGAAAGTCATTAGAGGCTTTTTGGACGTTGAATATTCAAGGTTAATTATCCTCTGAAGCTATAATAATTACGACACGCCTCAGTGGCCCCAAAAAGACTTTATGAAGGTTTTGATTTATAATGATATCCAGAATCAAAGCAGCCGCTTAGCTGTTTCTGAATAAGGGTTTTCCGTGCGACCCATTAATTTTCGACCCCATGTGGTATAAAATTGATTTACTATGTCAGCTTCTATTTTCAGTAAATGCTATCGGCGAGATCCTGAATCGCAAAACCTCCGTGGCTCAAATAATGTCGAAGACAGTCGAGGGTCTGAATCATGCCTATGAGTTGCGTGATTCAAGCCCAGAAGACCTCATTTTCGATCTCTTCAAAATGCCGAATAAAGATGAAGCCAGTATCAGCAAACTGATCAAGGTGAGTTACCCCTTTTCAGTTTCTGTTCCCAGCTGAGTGTCAGATTTAGGTGCTAAAATCATTTGGTCTGCGAGAATCTGATCCTCGTCTACGACACATGAATGAAAAAATGAAAAGCTTTGAGGAGGAAGATGATGATGCCAGGAATTTTCTTCTTACGAGGGACAAGTTCAAAGAGTGAGTAAATTTGAGTGCTTCTCGGCTTATTAGTTACCGCCTGCGCTGATATCTGTCACAAACCATGCGTCTAAATGCACTACGATCCATGCCAGTTGCCCGCGCAGACAAAACTCAACGGCGACATAATATTCTCTACCATTCTAAGGCCTCGGACAGAGTTCACGCGATTTGATCGTCGCGATTTAATCGCCGCGATTTTCATTTTCATTTTACAAAAATTTCGAGCTGGAAAAGTATCACAACCGAAATGCAAGCTGATCGGCATGCAATGAACTCGTAACAGTTGCCTTGTAGCGATTGAATCGCGACGATCAAATCGGTGAACTCTGTCCGAGGCCTAACGCGTTTCTTAGGTAGGAAACGGCTTTTTTTTTATATACAATGAGATTTCATTACTATCCACAGTACTAAAATGATGAAGACTGTTTATAAGGTTAATTATACAAATGAATGCTCAAATAGACTCTTAGGACAGCCTACTAAATGCGAAAGTCTGTTTTACTTCCTTTTCAATGTCATGCAAAAAGTTCTGCTTAGAGCAGCAAAAGTTCTGCTTAGAGCACAGCGAATATAACTTCAGTGCGCGCAAGATTGTTTTGCTCGAGTAATGCAGACAAGAGTTTTTTTTTTGAAGTCGTGTGTACCCCACTTTGCTCATTTTTTCTTGAATTACACTAGGAAGACTTGTTTCAGGTGCATCCATCCATCAGTGCAACTCATATCGCAAGCACTTCGCAATCATCTGATAATTCCTAGTTGGGGAGAGTTTTGCGGCCAAATAAAGTCAATCTATGAAGAGGTATGTGAGACCAGGATGTCTTGCAGATAGCAAATTGAAGAATTTCAATTATAGTGCAAGTCGATCAAAGACGGAAATGTGGCTACTTACATTCCACAACTTGCTCGACAAAATCCAGATATTTGGGGTTTATCAATCTGCACCATAGACGGCCAGCGGGTCTCATTTGGTGACGCTAAAGTGCCTTTTTGCGTCCAAAGTGTCTCAAAGGTTACTTCACACCACTCATTAATTTTGGTCATTGAAAAAGCGAAAAATATTGCAGGCATTTAATTATGCGATTGTCTCGTCAGACTTAGGAGCCGACTTTGTGCATTCATATGTGGGGCATGAGCCAAGCGGAAGACTGTTCAACGAGATCTGCCTGGACCAAAATGGTGAGCCTTAGATTTTTATTTTTGTATTGTATTGAGTTTTGGTATTTTCAGGGAAACCTCACAATCCGTTGATCAACGCTGGGGCCATAATCGTTACTTCGCTTATCCGCAATCACTTAACGATGGCTGATCGATTTGATTTTGTTCTTAATGAGTATAGGAAATTAGCTGGTGGAGAACATGTTGGATTCAATAATGCCACGTAAGTTAATTGAGACTCTACTAGAGGTTGAATAAGGTTAGGAAATAAAAAGTTCAAGTGATAAAAGTCAATAAATAATAATAACATAGCGACAGTTAAGAAACAAAAGATTGTTATTATCGTTACACTTAGGTCGGGTGAGAAAAAACTTGAATTGAAAGCTAAAAAATACAACTGCCTACATTTCACGATCAAAATTCCCTTATGCACAAAACAGTGAAGTTGTTTAATGACTGTTTTACTATCCGCGATATCCTACACAGAATTTTGCAAAACAGTGATTTGTTTCAGTTTCAAGAATTGAATAGAAAATAATTGCTGGGAGAAGTAATAACGTTTTATAGGTAAATACTGTTGCCTTTGTAGTCAAACATCTTCATCAGTCACAAAAAAATGGAGGAAAGTTAATGAAATGCACTAAAAAGGTAAAATTGTCGAGTAACTTTTGCGCTCTATGATGTCTTTTTTGAAATCAAAGGCTAATCTGTTTCATGCGAAGATTCCATCAAAAAATAACAAGTTTTTTTGCTGTTGGTGTCTTGCTAGTCTTTTTGGAGACAAACATTTCAGGTGGGAAAGGAATGAAAGGAGACTTTTGATATGCTTACATATAAGTTGACTGACTCAAAGAACTGAAAATTCAAAAAATGGAGCCGATAAACTGAAAAAAGAAACTTGAAAAAAAAAGGATAGAGTTGAAAATTACTGATAATTACAGATGAGAACAAATTTTTCAGATTCCTTTCTGAACGAGACACTGCTGATCGAAATTACGCTTTGTCTTATTACATGAAGGAGAACAAATGTTTCCCACCGGGAACACAGGTATCGTTCGATGTTAGTCGAATATATACGATGCTCAGTTTTCTTTCCCCTTATAAGCTTCTGGCGAAAGGAAATCAATTGATAAAGAAATTACAGGGTCTTCGAGAGGAGTTGGATCTCTACTTCCAGCTATGTTCATTAGAAACTACTTGCGAAACTGCTGCAGTTATGGCAGCTACTTTCGCCAATGGAGGTATGATTTTTTCAGTCAGAATTGTATTTGTAAGGGTTATTTTTCACTTCAGGTGTGTGCTCACTCACCGACGAGTTATGCATTCACCCTCGTCCTTGTAGGGACGTTCTTTCCTTGATGTACTCCTGCGGAATGTACGACTTTTCTGGAAAATTCGCATTCCAGGTAACCCTATGATCTTCTCCGTCCTTTTCAACTCACTAGTTTTTTTAGGTTGGTTTACCAGCGAAATCCGGAGTATCAGGTGTTATGATAGTGGTTGTACCAAATCTGATGGGTATCTGCCTTTTTGCACCACCTCTAGATAAGATGGGTAACTCAACCAAGGGAGTAGCGTTTTGTCAGGTAAGTGTCTGATACATTTTGGGTGTGTCCCAAGTCTGGGTAAGTGGATTCTATATGTAAAAACTAATTGGAAAACCATAAGTAATCGACTACCCAAGCGGTAGCTCAGCTTTTATCATTCCTTTATGGCCGAAAAATTCACCTCTAAACTCCGCCCAGACCGTACATCTACCGTACACGAGTATGCTGATTGGTGGGTCTGGAGCGGCTACGATCTTGGCTGGAGTTACGAATTGAATTTCTCATCTACAAATGATTTATATAAGCTGCCGCTTGAGAGCTTACCCAAGGTCATCCAATGACTGCTGCATAAGTTCCTGCTAACAGATTGCGACCACGCCTTGAAGGACCACAAACCCAATAATTCCAGAAACTCATCGAGTACTTTAACTTCCACAATTACGACAGTCTACTGCATGCGGATTCGAAAAAACACGATCCTCGAAGGAGGATTGGTAATCGTGACACAGAACTCGTTGTCTCGTTGCTTTTCGCAGCAAAAAATGGCGATTTCGACGTCGTTCGGAGGTACGACCTATTTTTCCTTAGAAATTTGCTCACTCAGTATGCGCTTGAAAGTGGGCATCTCAACAAGAAAGTTCATTGTCTACTAGTAATCAACCAAATCTTCTATTGCAGGATGTACTTACAAGGAACAAACTTAGAAATGGCCGATTATGATGGCAGAACTGCCTTGCATATAGCGGCAGCCGAAGGTCATACACACCTCGTCAAATTCTTCGTGAATGTTGCAAAAGTGAATCATCAACCTCGGGACAGGTAGGTAGCTAAATTGATTCAGTCGCAATTTGAGTAGAAGGGGGCTAGTAGGAGGCGGAAGGAAGGGAAAGGAGAGGTCATATGGAGAGTTTATGGAATGTGGATACCTAGTCTCTTTTGTGGACTGGAAAAGAAGCCATAGTTATTGCTCGAACGCAGCTTAATCGCATTCGACCGACAAATTTGGCCCCTCAACTCTAACCCAGATCGTCTCCAGGGAACCAGTTAGCAACTTGAGTACGGTAAAAAGTACAGTATGGACTTGATAGAGCTGGTCAAGGCCGCGATCGAACAAACTCTTGGTTTGGGGCCTTTCAATCAGCTCCTCAGCGCTTATATAGGAACTGCTTGTTGTCGAAAAATATTGCAGTGAAATTTTGCGTCAAAGGAGTGATACGCCCCCTCTTCCCCCCCCCCCCCCTCACACAGCAGTAAGCAACATGAGCCTGATCCTCCCAAGCACGCTGGAGGCGAACATGAGCAAAACGCAAGAAGCTCGAAGCTCGCCCTTCAATATATCTTGCCAAGAGCTGCATTACTAACGTGAAATCCTTTTTTGGAAATAACGCCGGAGGCGCAGCCCTTGCTTTTGCCGCGAAATCACCTTGCACATCAATCTTTTTGCACGCCAGTATTTTGACAAATAGAGCGCTCACTAGGAAGTGGAACGTATTCCTCGTAGGAAAATTAGCTGATAATATGATATGATACTGAAGAAATTTTGAAGTAATGTCTAGATGGGAGAAAAGGGTGGCTTCCCTTTTTCATCTATTTCATTCCAGATGGGGACGAACTCCACTCGATGACGCCCGGACTTTCCATCACGAGGACTGCATTCGCTTCCTTCTCAAACAACATGTGCGCGCGCACAAGAACAGCTTCCCGAACGATGGTCCAGCAAGCGAAAACGCCATCGAGTACGTTTAATATACAGCATATTACCTTCCATCCAGTGAGTTCGATTACACAAGTCTTGGCCTTCTTACAGCAGCGAAACACTTCCTGTTCTTCTTGCGCAACATCAACACCTCAAAAGAAATGTTATTGCGGAGAATATTCGTTTGTATGTGATTTCTTCTCTTGATTCTTGATTCGGTAGTTTAGATAACTGTAGGATTTTTGGCAATAGATACACCAATGCGGTGGTCCATAACTTACATTAAACTAATTGCTCACAAATAATACACCACTGCGCTTAGGCAGCGATCAGAGATGCGCTTGTGCCGCCGATGTGCCAGCGCCGTTCCTTGCTGGAACCACTTAGCTGCCTCCGTATCGATCGAGTGACGTTGTAGCACAGCGCTGGAACGGCGATGGCGCAGCGCTGGCATTTGCAACTCTAGATGCAGCCTTTTGCTAGTTCTGGCTAGTCAGCCCTTTTCTGAGGAACAGCAAAGCTTCGGAGGGCCAAATTTCAGGCTGAATGGTCATGCGGACGAGTCCTCGGGCGAGGACGATTTGACCGGTACCACGGGTGTGATGCTGATCAACGACACCGAAGTCAAGGATAAAGGTCAGAGACCCTGCCCGTCGCTCACGTTCGGATGTCTCTAGTTGGTTGTAGACTGTTGGCTTCGGCATTTTGCGTAGTGTTCCGTCTCTCCGGTAGCATGAACAAAGTGATGCATGTCTAAGTGTAGCGAAATGTATTTTCCATACTTTTTCTGACCATCCTTATTTTCTTGACCAATATTGTAGAAATACTATCATTTCAGCGTGTAACGGTGTACGAAAAATGCCTCCAACGATCAAACTGCAGCGAGTCTCGGAAGCAGATGATGAGAACTGCACTTAATGAGGAAATCAATTTTTTCCTGTTATTTATGTATTAGGTATTTTCTTGCAGCGTCAGTTTTGATATCAGGTCTGCAAAATATGCACAAAATTGAATCTTTCCGGTAGCAGCTTCGCGAGACTTTTCCTGCAGCCAAATTACATAAGTAAATGAGATTGTTTATAAATAATAAACTTAGGAGGTTCCGAAGTCTTCAAAGCGCGAAGACTGCAAAAGAGTTTCAGGCTGTGTTTAGAGTTGCCGCTTCTAAAAAATTCCTTAAACACTTGTGCCTGAACTAAATAATTTGAAGTGCATATTTATGACATCTTGAAACGCTTAGGACTTTAATTTTGATGCTGACAGTGCTGCTACTAAAGACAATGCGGAGGATGAAGAAATTGCTTATTTGCAGACCTGATTCAATTACTCTAATGGTCCAGACTGCATATTAATGATTGTTGTAATTTTCATGATTTGTTAATACGTACCGGTTTGATTTTCTTATTGCTTCGGATACCGGTTTTTTCTATTTTGTCTGCGTTCGTAAGAGCTTCCCTTATAAACTCGGGTACATTTATTATCTTGAATATCTGTTGTGACTTCCTAATAAGCGGCACAACTGCTGTTAATAACAAGTAGCATATCTGTTTATCCATGACGGTCACGGATGGTTTGCAAATAAATAATATGGTCTGAGTTGTGTGCACTTGAGTGAGGCGACAGAAGATGAGAGCTGTGCGAGGTACATATAGTCGATCGTTGATCCCATGGACTGGACGCCACTGCGGAGCACGCGCGGCGAGATGAAACGTTTGCCCCAATACAAGTCGTCATTGTACAAGTCGTGCTCTCGCAACATCTCAGCCGCGCGGCGTTTGAGCAGTTCTTGCGGTCAACGTATCGACGAAGTGACAATGCTTAAGGCGCAGTTATCGCTCAGGTGGATTATCTGCTGGTGTGCACAGTACGCTAGCTAAGCAGATTTATTGGGTCAAACGACATTTCCGCATTGGAGCTGTGGTAGAATGCTCGTGAGTATAAGCATGGCGAAGTAAGGTGACATATCTGGGCAGTAACGGTACTCATATCACAGCAGGTAATGCTTATGCAAGATCCTACACTGCAGGAGGTGAAAGAGGTGTGCTGTCGCTGGCCGCAGTGTGCCGATTCTGTCGGCAGCAATACGCAGATGGTTAAAAGAAAGTAGATTCCCGTAGAAACTCTGTCTGATTAATGGACTGAATACAGCAGAGAGATAATATTTAAGTTCAGAGATAATCTCGGTGTGCACAATAATCTTTTATGGAGGCGGAGTTGGAAGATGCTCATCATTAGGGACGGCTTCTCGATTTCACTAGTCACCAAAAGCGTTGTGGTTTGCAAAGGCGCCTCTTCATAAGAAAAGAAGACCTTGTAATAAAAACGGTCGTCACTGCTGCCGAACGTTTTGAGTCCTTTCGTCGTTTCCTTTGTCAGATTGATCTGTGGTGAATTTTGCGCTTTTTTCGTCGCAAAGTAGTCAGTGGGATGAATGGCGTAGTGACATGAGGCGCCGCTATGACCAGATCGGACTCAGATTCGATCCCGCCCCTGGGCCAATCAAGCCCTCTCTCCGGAGATGGTAAGTTGGTACCAGAGTAATTATGGGAGGATAAAAGCACTGATTTGGTAACCGCTGGCCCTCGCAAATTACTGTATTAGGCTCGCACGCATACAATTGCCTCTTCGATTATGAAGTAGTGTACGATCGGCGCATGCCCCAGAGGGTAATGAAGACGCCGAATCCTTTATCCTTTCTCCTTTGAAGTAGCCCATTTTGTCCTGAGCATTTGGTGTTCTCAGCAATCAGACTGCTTCTGGATTCAACAGCAGGCTCTTCTTTAGTCGACTGATCAAAAAATACAGAAATTTGCTTCTTCTTTTTGTTCCTCACAAGGGAAGAATGACTGTGATCGTGGGCTTTTGAAATATGTTATATATCAAAATATAGTGAAACGCTGATCTCGAAACTGTCTTCGTTAGAATGCTTTTCTGAGACGAATTTGCGCTTGTAAAAACGCTAACGCAAAAATATTTGCACCAACCGAGATCAAACGGGCATCTATTGTGCAATAATCGGCAGCGTCAATCACTAGACCATGCGAGACCTTTAGCTTTTGTCGAAATAACTCGTACTCTTGTGCAGATACGTCAGATGAGGGAAGATACTGTTTTCCGAAGTATCGTTCCGCAGATAACGAAAATAGTTTTGAGGTCAGCGTTTAAAGGCGAATGTCATGACATATTGAAAGGCCACGGCCACAATCTTCTCCCCGTCAGTAGCGAAGCGAAAATCTTTCTGTTGTTCATCATTCCTAATTCTATCTTGCATTCCATCATGTATTCTTCGAGGATGAAAATGAAAAGCTCGGCATCGCTAACAGTACGAAAAAAAGCTGATCTTTCTCGTATGCTTCCGGTTCCTTTGCCATTAGTTTCTTCGATGTTTTCGATTCTCGTTTGGGCACATCGGTTGAGAATGCACAGCTTTTGTCATTCCTGCTCATCTTCTGAAAATGTGTTTCTCTTACCGTGGAGAGCGTGCTTCTGCATCAGCTCCTTTGGATCCTAGGCAGATCCTCTCGCTTATTCTATGTGAAGGAGTGGAATCATCGTTGTAATGGTTCCAGTCGTGCTACTACTGCAGCGAATTGGAATATTTTGGTCCATATACTGTGCGATCGAAGGTAGGTGGCGTTATCTAAGGTGTTGTTTTCGTCTTGGTAGATTATCTCTGGTGTGCAGCAATAGCTGAGCAGATTTATTGAGTCAATTATGTACATGCCCGCATTGAAGCAATAGTAGAACACTAGTGAGTATAGGCGCGGCGAAGTGAGTTGACATATCTGGGCAGTAACAGAACTCATATCATATCAGGTCATGCTTATGTACGACCTTTACGGAAATCATTGGAATCACTGGAAGAGGTATATAAAAGAGGTGCTGATTCTGTCGGCACAAAAACATCCGATGCGCACGTATTTAGGCAGATATGGAAGAGCAACTCAAAGATTAGGAAGGTGGAAGTACTAGGGCATCTCGAAAATCAAAAATGCCGGAGCACGTGACACGTCTGTTTCAGTACAAACGGCCGCAAACGGCCAGTTTGTGCGGTCGATGTTAGATGTTACTTACTGTCTCTACATTTACAGGACTTTACAATCTGAGTGTCCCACCCGCCCCGCTAGGCCGCCACGCTTAGGTCCGCGCAGCGTTCGTGGCGCTGGCTGCGCGTCGACTGAAGCTTGGCGAAATCCGGGCGATACGCAGCAAACGCCGCGCGCGGCCTGAGCGAGGCGGCCGCGTTGGAGGAGCCGCGCAAGCGAAACCTGCGACTCTCAGGTTGAAAAGCCCTGTATATGTTTAACAGGAAACGTCTGAATTTCACCCAGCGTAAACTTTCAAGTGGTCAGCGCTTCACCATAGGTAAATGTGACAAATCATTAGGCACTCTCTAAGGTAGGTGTCAGAGTAAGCGAATATTTTGTTCAGGTTGGGGTCCCGCGCAGAATTGACGTCACTTGGATTAAAGCCAGCATGGTGAGTGACGTCCATTCTGCGCGCGACCCCAACGTGAACAGAATCTTCGCTTACTCTGGCACCTACCTAAGCTGAGTAGTGGTGGAGACACGACATGCAAGAGCAGTGTGTACTCTTTGTCCAATGTCCTTCTTGAATATACTACAGCCTAGATATCCGGCCCCTGCACCACCATTGGAGGATTTCATCGCACTTTGACAATCTTGCACTTGAGCGCGAGAATACACTCTATAAGGTGTTATGTCCTGGCTGTAGATAATCTCCTTAAAGGCAGCGTCCCACCAGATTGGGGGTACCTGGCTCTCGTAATAATGTAATAGTAGACCCCCTAACTAAGCGATGACTGAAGTTCGGAGCGAAAAAGGGGGTCTACTATCACATCATTACGAGAACCAGATACCCCCAATCTGGTGGGACACTGCCTTTAAAGGCAGTGTCCGGGCAGAAACTCGATTTTTAAAAAATCAACTTATCTGGGGTTATCCGCAACGCTGAATCCGAAAATCCCATCAGAAGGCGCGAAAACGGCGAGAACATGCATTTTCCAACCCATTACATTTCGAAATTTGAGGATCCCCGCCAGGCTAAGACGCAGAGGTTGCAAAGAGCGCACGGTTTTTAACTGTGGCGGCATACGTACTCTGCCGTCTGACAGGAATTCAAACAGCTCGGTGGACCCCGCCCCAAGGCGTAAGTTTCTCCACTTTGCAATTGTTATTCTTGCTTTAGGTCGAACGTTTTATGCTCTCAGTTGCGCGATGTTGTGTCTCAGGGGGGCCACTTTCACATGGCAGAGAAATCTCAAAACCCCCATCTTGCCCGGACACTGCCTTTAAAGGCAGTGTCCGGGCAAAAATTCGATTTTGAGATTTTGTGCTTACATGGGCCTATTCGCTACGCTGAATCCGAAAATGCACATTGTAGAGCACAAAAATGGCGAAAAACGGCTCTAACACAGGAGGGAAATGAGCAGGTGGGCGGGGTTCTCCCCACTGCGAATTCAAGTTCCCGGCTTTCGGAGCAACCTTCTCGCTTCCGGTTTCAAGTCAATCATTCGCACTTGGCCGGTAGGGATGTTAGAACGGCTAGCGGAATCGAGAAAATCGCTCCGGGAGCTGGGAGCGTGAAATCGCACTGGGGAAAGCCCCGCCCACCTGCTGATTTCCCTCCTATTTTAGAGCCCTTTTTCGCCGTTTTCGCGCTTTCCAATGTGAATTTTCGGATTCAGCATGGCGAATAGGCCCGTATAAGCACAAAATCTCAAAATCAAGTTTTTGCCCGGACACTGCCTTTAAGCACGGCGTCTCAAGTGGTCTTCCATTCATTTCATGCACTACAAGAGGCTTTATAGGTCTGCGGAGGGGCGGAGCTCACAGCGGCGAGGGAGGGTTGGTATTATTATGATTATTATGACGGGAATGCTGGAAATCCGCTGATGTAACAGAAGATGTGGCAAGCATTGTAGTGTTCCTGTCTGTTCACGAGAGCAGTGCTTTGTTCCGTTAGTTACATTAATATCTGCTCCAGCAATATTGTTGGCGTGGTTGTCATCTTTCGAGAGCGATTCTTGTCCGATGAGTTGGTCGAGTAGTCTCTTTTCACGCGATCCATAGTGACGCCGGTTGTTAATTTCAAACTCAATCCTCGGGGCGGTGCAGCAGGATGTAGTGTAGACTAGCAGATTTATTGACTGGACGACTGATGCTACGAGAAAGAATGTTACCAAAAGACTGAGTGCCTAATAAAGCTCTCCACTGATCGTTGTCAACAATAGAAACCCTAAAGACCATTTACAACGGGGTCATCCACTACCAGTTGATGATAATGTCACTTCATAACAGTTTCTATGTGAACAAATGACATCAGACTTGCACTGATACATGATACTGTGTGAAGACTCGGCCAAGAGTTACTCATGCTGTCTACTGTGAAAAAAACAAGCTGATGCGAATATATACTTCCTAGTTGCAACCAGTGGCCGTAATCATCAACAAACCCGGCGGGTTCCGCTACCCAGTAGGTAAGCAGAAACAGTGCCACTGGGTTGGATCGATATTCACTAAAAGCACTGCTGGGTTCGCGAACCCACTAGCTTCGTGAATACCGATTTCGTGGGTTGAGCCTACCCAATGGGTTCCGGAACCCACCGGCGTTGATGAATACGGCCACATGGAGACCAAGAAGGTGGCACACGACGGCCAGATACGATCCCCTCCCCCCCCCCCCCCCGTGTTACATTCCAACAAGACCCCTCTGTATTACCGTTTAGATAGAAAGAGGCCCTACCAAGTACAATGAGTAGCATTTTTGTATTTAGCAGGTCAAACAACTTCCGTAGACCAGGTTCTAGCAATTTTTAAAGTTGTTACTGGACTACCTTGCAGAAATGGTCATTTTAGAATTTTTCACTCACTACAAAACACTACTCCTTGGCTCACATGATGAATCCCACTTCAGACAACGCCAAACTTTGGAGATTAGCAGTCAAAATATAGCTCAGTCAATATACCTATCGTTCACTCCATTCTTCGTTTCCAGTGATCTTACTTACAGTGATCGCTACTAAGTTGAGTGAGGACGAATCAGGCTTGAACCCTTGACCATCTATGAGAATCAGGCTATCTAACCATATAATCCTCGGCTGCTGTGACAAAAATGTAGGGGGTGTGGCACAACTCCCAAAAAGCTGTCACATCTCCTCGGGGTTGTGCCACATCCAGGATTTTTGTCGCAGAGAAAATTTCAGCCTTGTGATAGTGCTAACGGATATCATTGTTCATCTAGCCAATGTCACTCTGATTACCCCTCCCCTCTCTGTCCTCTCGATAAGGTGCCCTCGTGTCGCGTCCCACACTCTACGCTTTACTCTGGTTACAACAATGACTGAAATTATCAAATAGGCACATTTTGTTGTAGCCAAGCGTATCAAATGCGCAATATTGGAAATGCTTTTCAGCAGACACTCCAAAAAAGATGTCAAAAAGTGATAATTCATTTACGAAACGGTATAGAAAGCATAAAGAGGCATTGACTACAAATTTTAGAAGCGTGAAAATGTGTATTATAATAGTGACAAAACTGGGTCTAAACGGACGACAGTCACCGGAAGATAAGGGAGACAAGCGAATTAAGTAAGAAAATGGTACAAGCTTTGAAAAAGCCGTAGAATTCGAAGCTAAACTGCATGAAAAAAATGTAGAAAAGATCGGTGTTAACTAGAAAGCTGCGACATCAGACCATAACCCGAAAATTCCATGGGATATCCTACATGTGTCGGTCAATTATGTACAGGATTATGAACAAAGGAAAAGAGTAAATACGTTGTCGAAGATAAAAATTGGGACATAATCCCTCTATCTCTTTTTGGTATTTGCATTTCATTTAGGGTATCTGAGGATGCACATTATGAGTGTACATGACAATGCGGAGACTACACATAGAAAAAAATTAGTGAGAAGTGGAGGCGATCCCGCAAAACAAAAGAAGTGAGTAACGGCAATAACAGAACTCAATCTTAATTCGTAGAAGGCATTCCATGAGTCGCCGGAGAGCACTCAAGGTCCTGCAATGTTTGCTGTGTGTGAGCAGTGAGGGAAGACAGAATGGTCGAATCCACTGGTTCCAGGCATGAAGGACAAGTAAAAGATCTGAAGCGTGTATACACTGTCAATACCGATACTTTTAGCAAATTAGTTGAAAATTTTACCTCATGAGCCAGTCATCCACGCATGCTTGATGGAACGAGTGCATGCATGGCAAAAATCTCACCCTCTCACCTGGTTCGAAGTCAACCATACAGATAGCACATCTGCAGATAATGGCTATTATCCATGGCTGATAAGTAACGAAGGAGTGGGCGGAACTTACTCGCTTCCCTTCATGTCTGACCGAAACTCATCCGCTGGTATCTGTTCTAAAAGTCCCCTAACACGTTGTCGTTGAGCATCTTCACGAGTTTTACTTTCCTCTGCGGCGGCACGTTGTCGAGCAACGTTTGCTGCGTAGAGCTGGTTCACATAAGGACTCTGAAAAGAAATCTACGCTTACAACCAGGGTCAAGCAAGGGGTGTGGCACCCGATCGCTGGTTACGACCCCCCCCCCTGATTGCTGTCTTAATAAGACCCCCCCCCCCCTCCTGAACTATATACCTAAGATAGAATTACCAGAGTTGAGAAGGAGGTCAGGCACAAGTCTTTTGAAAACAACCCCCCCCCCCCCTCCCATGAAAGCCCTCAAACGACCCCTTCTTCCTCCTCTTAACCTCTGGACAGAATTACCAGAGTTGAGAAGGAGGTCAGGCACAAGTCTTTTGAAAACAACCCCCCCCCCCCCCTCCCATGAAAGCCCTCAAACGACCCCTTCTTCCTCCTCTTAACCTCTGGACCTCAAAGTGTGACATTCTGGAGAACACCAGCTTTTTCTAGAGAGTTGATCTGTACGCCCGATTTTCTGTGACTGCACTTTACAATCACACGTAATTTGACGGCTGATTTTGATCTGAATGGGCATATTGAAAAGGCCATAATTTTCTTATGGGTGGGGCGTTCGGCTCCAAATTTCCAGTGTAGCAAGAAGAAGCTATGTGCTCAATACTCATTCCAGCAATGGAGCGCTTTCTGGATTTTGAAGGCAAGTTAAGGGGGTGCGGCACACCCCCTCAAAAGCTGCGGCAGCCGCAGCTTTTAAGGGGGTGTGCCGCACCCCATTAACTATATCAAAAAAAAAAAACATTTTTGGCGGACAGTATTTATATGAATCGATAGCCTAAACCTTGTAAATTCCATAGGACTGTTTGGAGCCTGATTCGTCTTCTTAGCTCTGAGTAATATTTGGTGAAAGCACAGCGATCAAAAGCGAAAAATGGGAAAAACGAGATTTTGGTTGGCTTACAATTCCACAGTTTGCAGGTCTTCTGAAGCGGGATTCCTTAGGTGGACAAAGAAGGAGTAGTGCTTTGTCTGGAGTGCAAAAACGGATAGCTAATTCGCCTTTGAAGCAAAGTTAACCATGCTGGAATTTGACCATTTCATTTAGGTAGCCTAGTATCTTGAATCTTCAGAATTCGCTCACGCTGTCTACAGGGGTTAACTGACATGCTAATTATGGATATGATAGAAATATCATGTTATCACTATTATCAGACTACCCAACTACGACCCCCTCCCCTTTTGACTCCTCAATACGACCCCCCAGGTGTGGCGTGCCGCACCCCACGCTTGACCCTGCTTACAACGCCTATGAGAACGGCCAATGGGTTGCCGGCAACTGTGTCCGAGGTTGCTGAGGTGCCGGCGCTGCCGGTCGTTGTAGGACCTCATGACAGCCTCCACGTTTCGCGCGCTCTCTAAGCTGTCTCTGACCCTGGCAACGCCGGCAACCTTGGCAAGCAACCTATGGCCGTTCCCTATGCAACGTTCCCTGCCGCCTCCCTGGGCACACACGAGGGCTTTATTTACTCACAATTCCAAATAATTTGTAATCTCCAATAATAATCTGGCAAAATGATCAAAACTGCGCCTTCTCTTCTCTATTTTTTCAAACCCAAAAATGTTCAAATCTGATGGTAATAGAGCTAGCCCAAAAATCCTCTTTTTTTTTTTGAAAAACAGTTGTCTTCAGAGCGAAGCTCAGACTAGCACCTGGAAGCATATAGGGTGACTGGATTTTTCAGAAGCTAACTAGAATGAACCGGCACTTAACTGGTCTGGTTAACACAATCTTCAATTATGACATTCAAGTTGAAGAAAATGACACAGAAGAATTTAAAACGCACACTGTGAGGTAGTTGCATAACCGGATTGCTGAAGCTCAAGGAGGTATCTGAAGAGCCTCGCTGTGGATCTCTGGAACATACGTTATGGACATAGGTACGTTATGAACAGACTGAGGGAAACCATGAAAAATGATGTGCAGGGATATGACCCTGATTTTCTGTAATTTAAAGCTGAATAATCGAGTGTATCTTACGCATGGTATCAATTCCGGTAAATTTTTTCCTAGTTTATGGTAAGCAAGGGAATTTGAGATCAGATTTTGCAAGACTTTCGCAGCGCTTTTTCAACACGCCAACTTTTCTACCATTAATATCTGAACTGTCCTGACCCACTCCGCTAGATCATATCACAGTCCAGATTCATTCTGAGACCAAGACCCGAGATCGCTTTGCGATTGTCAAAGAAGCTTGATCGTTTAATTAACAAGTTTATTCTCGTGATCCATCGAACCTAGGATTATTTGCTACTTGACAGGGAAGAAAGTCCAAGCTTGTTAGACGATGTGGCAAGCGATTTCGAGTCTCTCAGTCTCACAAGAAAGTATTTTTAGTCGGACTCTACTAATACTTCTGTACCGTTGTATTTCAGATGCTGATCCCAAATCTGTCTTCAGTATCTGCTGTGCGCTTTTGAATGCCGCGTTGCCGAGTTATAAACGTTTTTTTAAAATCAAATCCGTTCACATAGCTCAGTTTTAGACTGGATTATAGAGTGCAGAAGGCATTTTTTTCCTACCGTAGCCAAAATTAGTCATAAAGCTGATGTTGACTGCAGAAACATCCGAATTTACGCCAATAAATGTGCGCTGCGGTATGGGCGATGCATTGCTTCATTATTTAGTCAGAGTAGGGGGACTTTTTCGGCTAATTCAGTTGTATTCCGCGTATTAATGTTGTCCCACTTTATCTTGCCCGTCTTTCAGAGGGAAAAAATTAGCTGCTTGCGATGACTGCCGACGCAGACGTTTTTCTGACTTGTGAACACTAAGTACATATCGAGATCAGAAGGCTTCATAAAGCTATAGAAAGGGAAAGCTAGCACCCACGGAAATTTTCTGGAATTGGCTGCTGCGAGGACGTGCCATCGATAGATTTCTGGCCCTTTTATAGGCAATGATACTTAGCCCGATTTCATTCTCCACTTCTATATGTCATTTTTTAGTTATACGCAGGTCCTTGTCTTTATTTTCGAATATGCTACTAATAAGAAATATGAGTGAGCTTGGCTCTCTTTCCGTCGACACTTCGACATCGTTTGAGTTAATTGAAACCCGTAGCTCAAAAACAAGGTGATAAAATAGAGTTTACAACAAATCCGGACCATATCGCGAAGGATGATATCTACACACAAAATCAAAGATTTGACAAGCCACAAGCCACAAGTACAAGAAGTTCAGGTTTATCAATTATTTGCATCATCATAGCGTATAAGAACAGCGCACAAAACTACTCATACAAATTCTTTCAAGCGAGTGATCATTCCAGTCTCTTTTTTTCTCCCACAGTAGACGAGTGACTCGATTTTCAGGTGTACTACTTTGCACCAAACCTGACAAGGAACATCTAAGCGGAAATGCTACGATTTGCGCTGTACTTAGTGCCACTCTTGTCGTTTTCAGGTCTCAAATCATATCATTGGCTCCTAGATTCATGCGGAGGCGGGTTGCGGGCTTTCCCCTGAATAAAGTTGAACTTCTTAAACCTGCTCGTTGCAGCATTGTCTTTCATACTCTCTCAAGTTCATCCTTTAAGCGAAATTTCGCAACCGCCTCCACACAATTGAAGCCGATCATACCTGACTATTCTGTGTTGGCTAGAAGATTAGGAGTAAATAAATTCGAAGAAGAGTATCATCATGTCGTGTCGTCGTAAGAAGATCGTATGAGATCATAGACGGCAGCATTGCGTAATAAGAAACAAATTTCAATTTAAAAGAGAGGGAACTTGGGCTCAACATCTTTTGAGCCTGTTCAGGAAAGAAAAGCATGCAATAAAGATTCAAGAAGGAAATCTGCGATTACTGACACAAATAGTCCAGCTGGTCTTGAAGCACACTATGCACTGCACATAAAATTGCTGTACAATATGGAAGTGTCGATCTGCTCACTTACAATACATGGTCTTTTCAAATCAACTTGCACCAGGACTGGCGAGTGATGCGGAAACAATGTCGTACAATGTTGAAGCTCCTGGCACTTATACTACTTTATCACATCATTACAAGATTTTGGAGCGATTACATGCCTCAAATACTACCGCGCACATTAACAGCGTGAAGCTGCATGTTTCTGCAGTCAACATTAGTTTTACGCCTAATTTTGGCTACGGTAGGAGAAAAGTGCCTTCTGCACTCTACAGTCGCTTCATTTCACATGATCATGTGTGCCATTGCACACACAGTCCACTTTGGCGTCCTCGTCCTGGATTTGCAATCGCAAAAACGCAAGAGACTTACCGATTGTTATCGACTACATCAATTTGAGGTGACTAGTAACTAAAAAGGAAAGAAAATTCTAAGAACACCTTGGAAACACACTTACCTGAAGGCTTGTTTCTCCCAAAAATCCAGGATGGGGACGCCAAAGGTGAACTGTGTGTGCAATGACACACATGATCATATGAAATGAAGCGACTGTATAATCCAATCAGTTTTAGGCATCAGAACACTTTCGCAATGGGGCTTTCTGTCTGGAATAATTCCACTCATCATTGCTTCATCTAAACGTTGAAGAGACCGTAACGACCGATTTCAACCAGGCCACTGATTCATTTCTTGCACCAAAAAAAAACAGTTATAACTCGGGGTCAAGAAACGCTTAGCAAATGGTGAAGGACCGATTTGGAACCAGCTTCTCATTCTCCACAAAAAGATACAGAGCATCTCCGGAATGACCATTCCGACCAAGAACACACATTTCTTGTCAAAATGAATGATACCAAAACGAGACATCCACGCCATTAGTCAAAATCGATAACCGTAAAAAGGCAATGCCAAACTCTTCTGTTTCTGTAATTGATGCTGTGCATTTGAAAGCTCAACCGTATAATGATTGCAAATTTAGAAAACACCAGAGTTGAGATCACTTATAGCAAGAACATGCAATGGTGTCAAGTCGCCTCCAGTGAGAAACTTATATGACAGTTTTCACAAAGATTCTCGATTGGTCCTAGTAATTTTCTCTACACCAAATTGTACTTTTGCAGTCGCAAGACCTCTCGCTAAAGTGATGTTGTGGTAGTAAAAAGTAAAGAAAGAAGATACGAAAAAAAAGAAAGCTGATGTTCCTACCCTCCCGAACTATCGTGGGAAGCCATATTTCTGCTCATTCGGAACAATACAGGCAGGCAATTACCCATTTTGCCAAGTATGGGAGAGTCAACTACTCCACTTTGCTCCTAAATGAATACTCTGCTGAAAACCAAAAAGAAGTAAAGACCGAAACGAAGACGATTCCCTGCATGAGATAATTGAAATATCCAACGTATGGTGAGAACAGAATAGTGCTGACTGCAAAATGATCGATAGGGTCGTGAGCCGCAGTTGCAGAACAAGCAACCTCGTCAGTCCGCAGCATTCTTCGTCATAACCGGAACAAGCGATGGGTGCTAGACTCGTAGAGTCTTATTTGCATGAACAAGGAGGAGGTTCTAACCAGGGCTCGGCACAGGTGGCTTGTAAGCCAGTTGGTATCGTTTTTTTTTGGACGAAAAGCAAAAAGGTTTCCGTTTTTGTGACCGAAGAGAGACGCAAAAATGGCGACTTGGCGACGTTTTTTTTAGTGGACGTTTCGTTTTTTGGGGGATTTTGGGGAATTTTTCAGGTTAGAGGAAATTTGGTTGAGGGTCAAAGGGGACTTCGTAAAAATTCCCAAAAGTCAAGGGGGACTTCGTTTTTTCCATTTTCATCTAGCCACCTCGTGCCGAGCCCTGGTTCTAACACAGATAGCATCGAAACGAGAAACGATGAACTCCTAGGGGTCCTAAATTCGCCCCAAATCATTGCTTGACAGGTTCTCCTCTTTCCGGTGGCAAAAAAGCTACATTTGCAAAATAACTGTATTTGTTTTAAAGATTGAATGAATCACTCTTTTTTCACTTGGTCAGAGCAAAGTACTATCGACTCTTCGATTCAGGCAGAGGCGAGACGTGGAAACTTATAGCGTGGCAATTTTGACAGCCAAAGAGGTCGGAAAACAGTGCTGTTGTGAAGGTTTAACAAGTTTACCAAAGTTATCAAATATCTGCAATGCTCTGTCTCTGTGCTTAGCAGTGGAGATTACCTTTTTTTAACAATGCTAGTAGGATATGGTCTGTCTGAGATTCTTCCCATAGTTATTATAATCGGTGCTTGTGTAGCATCGCGTCATAGGCACCATTTTGGGGAACGACCATAGGTTGCCGGTATATAATTGTTGTCGAGGTTGCTGGCATTGCCGAGGTTGCTGCGGTTGCCGAGGTTGCAGAGGTTGCCGGCGTTGACGGTCGTTACAACATAATAGCCTCCACGTTTCGCGCGCTCTCTTAGCTGTCTCTGACCCCCGTCAACGCCGGCAACCTCGGAACCCCAGCAATCTCCAACGTCAGCAAGCTCGGCAACGCTGGCAACCTCGGCAACCGTTGCCGGCAACCCGTGGTCGTTCCCTTGGGCTGCTTGCTGCGGTATTACTTATGAGAATAATCTAATGAGAACAGACAATACCTTCGATAATCTGGAAATAGTGCCTGAAATGTGTTGTGTTTGAGTGGCTGCCCCAGTAAAAAGTGGAGGTGGAGGGACAATCCCATTTTGTACCTCTTAGTGATAGGCGGTAAACAACGAGGATGAAGAGAACAAAAGGGGACAGGGGACATATAGTACATGACCAGATGCCACAAGTAAAATTCTGTGGATAGAGGGAGGGGTTTTAAGTTGCCTGCGTTTTGCGCGTTTGTCGCCTTGCGCGTGCAGTTCCCCGCCAAAAACGTCGAGGAAAATGAAGAAAAGCTACAGGCCCCGTAAAATTCAATTGCCCACGCGTCGCTTTGAACACCAAGGCGCGGCGCGGCTGGGAACGTTTGGTCCTGAAGCGCTACAGGCTTTTTGCGCGCGACAATAAGCGCACCCTTTCCACACATATTTTTTTAAACTTGTGAAGGGAGCTTTCGTCAAGGTATACCTTGCATTGACGAGAACAACATGAAAGCTAAAGAAAGATTTCCAGGAATATAGTGAACGCCGACAGTCGTTCGCGACGACCGCTCGCTTACGCTGGTGTTCAAGGCACGGCGCGGGCAATTAGGTTTTACGGCGCCTTTATGTAGCTTCCTTTCAAGCTGTCTCAGAGATTATGGCTTGGTTTGGCAATTGCTAAGAAACAGATAAACAAAGAAGTAGTCATTGAAACGATGGGTTATTTCCTCAACAGAATGCAAGTCAAAGTTTTGATGCGTCTTTAGAATTCATCCTCCCTCTTGCCGTTTTTGTTTCCGACTGCGTTGTATGAGTCGTTCTACTCCCATCCTTGGCAAGAATCCCCATGAAAAATATTATAGGAATCGACTGCAAAGAAGGAACTACAAAAAATCCGCGTTACACGAGCTGAATGGGGCAAAATGGAATTCTCAAGAGCGTTTTTTTCCAAATTTTCTCGGACAATAAAAAAAACGAGCTCGGCGAATTGCCAGCGTGTGAGTAGACTACAAGAGCTCTGGAATGATACGAAATTTGGGGTGGCGGACTTTATGAACGATAGCGCGCGCTTAGGCAGGCGTGTGTCAATAAGGTGCGCACCGTTAGCCCCGCCTATCGCAAGATGGACGAGTTTCTTGCAGTACAGCCCTAGAACTGGTTCATGGCCATGTTCCCTAGGCAAGTGAAAGCAACTTCTGATAATGAGTTATAAGCTTGTTGCAAGCTGGGGTGAAGCTTGACTATTTACACAATTTTGTTTTGCTTTCTTGTTTCTTTTTTGCCAGTCATGAACAGCTAATGTGTTGGTCGCGAAATTCAAGACATTTGCTGATTTACCTATGAATGACCGAGTGACTCGTGGATATCCAACTTTGAAGTGTGAAATCAATCTAGAACACCTAAGGCATGATTGTCTGAGTGACCTCACTTCTTACGATTAGTTCACACGCAATTTCGGTTGAGTTTCAATTTATACTGAGGGTAACGTTTTTGAAAGCAAACGAAAGAATTTTGTTATCTAAAGCAGATTCGAAAAAATATAAGTGCACTGTGATTTTCCTTTTTCTGGAATCTGAAAAAGTTTGTGTGATCTATGTGACCTCACATTTGCAAAACGAGTGATATCTGATTGGGCGAAACCTTACCAGAGGTAATGATGTACACAAATTATCGAAATTAGTCTGCTTAAAACAAATTTTGCCTGTAATGCTTGTTTTGAATTCTCGTCGCAATGAAATCTGGTTTTAGCTACGATTAGGGTTTCAAAACTTACTTTTTGGATAAAAAAGATAATCGTTTTGGTCATTTCAGCAATGACAATAATATTTCTCGATAAGCTGGCTTTTTTTTTTTTGAACTAAACTTGTGGGTGCACAATAACGAATATTCAATGTAGTAACAGATGTGAATAAAGAAAAACACTTTTCCAAGCATGAAATAATTTCCTCATACTTACAATAAACAATCAATTTGGACAAATTCACCAGGAACAAATAATTGAAATACATTAGAAAGAGCTTGCGAACTAATTTTATAATGAAAAATGATCTGAAAACTGATTTTCAATTTAACTGAAATTTTGAAATCTACTGTTATTCAAATTGCAACCAACTGAAGAAGCAAGAACGAAATATTAGAGAGTTTTCCAATGAGTGCAACGCATTCCTAGGCTAATTGACAAGGGGGCGGAGCGATCAACGCACCGCGTACGGTACCCAGCTGGCGGCTGGCACATGCTATCGTTCATAAAGTCATACACCCCGAAATTTGCCATGTTTTCGTTACAAAGCGAGAGAAAAAAGGGGCATGAGAACCAAGTGCTCGTTCGAGGCGGAGGGATAGAGGCAGCGCGCGAAAAGTAGAGACGCAGAAGTGCAAAGAGAAAACAACTGAGAGGAAGGTTCTCCTACTGCCGGAGGCTCCTCCAAATATTCTTAACAACTCTATCATTTTTGTAATGAGACCTACAGCCTGACAACGCGCCGAGGTCGAAAACCACTCTATGTTGAGGTAAAGCCGCTTTTCGTGTGCGTCTCGACGTTCGCGGCAAAATCCGGTGGACCGGCGCGAGTCATCATTTTAGTTTCGTCCGGATTTTGGTGCGATTTTGTCGCGACGGGCGAGGAGGTTTCGAAATAACGCACCTATACGTCGACGTATTGATCAATTCTTCCCTGCATTTGTTGCATTTGTTTTTTTTTCTTAGATGAATCTATACTTAGCAAAGCATGTCTTTCCAGAGACGTTCCATGCCGATAAAAACCAGACTTAGACCAAAGAGAATCAGCTTGAGACGCTCATTTCGAACGCGTCCTTCTGATCACACGGCCATTATCTGCGTTGATCATCATCCGGAAGTAAAGATGAACCCTTTTTCTCTCTTTCTAGAAGTTATATTTCATTCTTAGATTGTTTTGCTTGCTTACTTTAGCTGATTACTGGACTTTGAGTATTTATGCTAACGTGTACTATTTTGGTTTTCAAGCGCTTTTACGAAAACGAATGGGATGACGATTTTGCGTTGCGATCCCCGAAGCCAAGAAGGGAACGCCGACCTAAGCATAATCCTGTTCTTGAGGAGGTCGGAAGAGTTTCCGCATTATGATTACCATGATTCACCTATGATATAAGCTCATTCCAGGATTTTATAGAAGAGGAAGAAGAGAATGTTAATGACAATGATGAAAGCCGCGAGAATTTCGATTCACAAGTGGATAGTGAGCTTCCGGCCGTGCAAGAGCTGAATGAGAAGGCATGTTTTTATTTATGAAACTGAGAAAGTAATGTTCTTCTTTTGCGGTTGCTCATTTCTTAAAATGGTATGAGCTTACAGACAGTCATTTTCGAAATTTTGGAGGTTATGCGATTTTTGAACTGCGGTTGCTTGTAATGCTTTTTCTGAACTTCTTAAAGCAGATTTTTCATCACATGAAGAATGTCATCTACGGTTCAACTCTGTGCAAAAACTGGCATCAATATTGCCGGTTCCAGTTCCATATTATTTAGAGTACACAATTCCAGTTCAAAATTTACCTGGCATAGCTCACATTTATCGTACCGCATCTCACGAGTTTAGAAAAATCACTCATTTGACTCTCGCCTTTTTTTTCAGTGATTTGTACTCAATTCGGAAGATGAAAGAGTTTATGCACATTGTTCATCCCGCACGTCATCATTTCTGACAGTTGGCTTAGCCGGAATTCGGAATTTACTTACAAGGGAAGGATCATCCATCGAAGTGGGGTTTCCACACATGATGCATATCATTCTGCTGCTCTTGGGGCCCTAATGCCAAATTCGTGATCCTTAGCTGCTCAATGATTTTCTGGGCAAAGTTATGAGCGATGGTTTACCCAAGATGCGGCTAAGGCTCGCATTGAGCTTGCGGCGCCAAGGGCATGCAGATGTGGACGGGTGGTCGAGTGGATACCTGCGGAGACTATGGAGCAAGTGGTAAAGAGTTCGGACCACTTTTGCAGCCACAATCTTTGCAAGTTGTTTAAGGTTATATTAGAAGGTCCCTAAGGCAAGGAAACCCTCATTGCAACTTAATTACATCAAATCTCGGAGATAATGGAAAAATCGTGCAAAGTTCTGAATTGGGCAATGTTGGTAGATCAGTTGGATCAAAAACATGTAAAACAGGTACAATCAACATGGATACTTGATGGGAAGCTTATTCATCATTTGCAATTATGTTTTCGCCGCAGGTGGTAGTGGGGTAGCTAGCTAGAAAGTTCGGTCCATGCGAAGTTCTGCGCAAACCACTCGAAAGGAGCAAAGGCTTTGAGCAAGCTCAGAGCAATTTTTTGAATCACGTTATTGTGTTTTGAGCATTCTGTGATAAACTGCCACACATGCTCATAAATAGTTTGATACTAAATATAAAAACACGTTGATCTGGCATCGTGAGAGTGCACCACCCTTCAAGGTCTTTAGCCACTATTCTCAGTCAACGAGGAAAAATTATTGGTTTCAGGAGTTCAATATGGTTGAAGTCATGGAAAAGTGGCAGAGACCAAAACGCGCGCACAAGCATGATCATTTCCTTTTGGTGCTCGACTTTTTGCGCCACTTCTTTCTAAATGTAAGCGACAGATAGATGAAGATGATAAGGTCGTCTTGTAATCACCGTTTAGGCCTGCGAACCACCTACGGAAATTCAACAGTACGCCTGTAGACAGAGCGGGAAGAAGGAGAAATTTGACCATCTTAAGGACCTCCCGGAAGGATTAGTCGATTTCTTAATAAGTGGGTCAATGTGTGTTTGAGTACATTACTTTCAATCACTGATTTAGGTTTCATCCTTGACGCCCTTGGCCTACACCGCGACCAACTTCTGCGGACGCCAGATGAGCATAAACGGAATCCAAATAAGTATGTATGTTCTCGAAAGACCTTCATGTGCACTAGAATTTAGGTGGTGGTTGGACTTAGCCGAAAATGACGACGCTTGCGAAAAATTATTCGACGTCCTCTCAGAGGAAAGGGTAGTATGGAGCGGTAAGGCGAGGATAGCAAATGGGAGAGCTTTGTGAGTTTTCTCATAAGGAAAGCGATACTTCTGAACTATATTTTTGCAGGGAAGACATCGGGAGGTATCATTTTGACCCTGACAGGTCCATGCTCCTTCCATCAAAGGTAATTCGTTTGTTTTATACGATCCTGGTAACAATAATTTTTTATTTTCAGAAAAAGCGCGTCATAGTCGAAGGCAGCAGTGTTACCAAAGAAGGCGTAACGATCCAGAAGACTGAAAACGTTGAAGATGAAGATGAAGTAGTCGTAAAAAATTAATGCTGTTTTCATTCTTAACCGTAGTTCTTTCGTAACCTTGTGTCGTGATTGCGGTGCTTTGATTCCTGTCTCATTTCGATGTTATTGTAAATGCTACTCGAGAAGATCATGTGGTATTTGCTAATAAATTTTATGACGTAAGACTGGGTTTATCAGCAGAAAAAAAACAAGCGTGGGAAACGGGACCCAACGTGACCAAGGACTCAAGGTAAGTCAAAAGGAAGGCGTGAGAGAGGGCTTAGAGGACGCAAAAAGCTGTCAGTAAGGGCGTAGGCCGCGTGCTCTGAACGCGATCGCGACATTTTGGTGTCTCGCGCAGGTCTCCCCATTTTGCCCCGATTTTGCCGCGCACTTTTGCCGCGACACAAAATCAGGTGTCCTGATTTTGCCGCGACACCGATTTCGCGAGTCGCCCACGCATTCAATGGCTACACATCGTTTTGCCCTGCGCGAGTCAACCGCGAGTGTCTGAGAATGACCTCACTCGGGTGGAGGGACGAACACCTCAATTAGGCACCGCCTATGCGGACTACTGGTCCTAACACGATTTACAACAGTAGGACGAAAGGACCAGGAGCCCGCAGAAGCGGCGCCTAGAGGTATTCGTACCTCTACCCACCTCACTCCTCTAACTAAACCCCACCCACTTGTTAAGGACTAGCTCGGAAACCTCATGAAAGCTCCCAATTTCTGCCCATAAATAGCGCTTCAGAGGGCTGTCGATTGCTTGTTCTCATTCCATGACACACATCAAACTAATTAAGCGCTAATAAGCCATCATATGTGCACTTATTGGTAGTTTATCATGTGCTGGTCACACAGGCTGATCCGTTTGCAAAGTGGTGGTAAGGTTTGAGCACTCTTGCACAAACTAAAATCTATTGTCTACCATTATTATCAGCAAGTGTAGATCGAGAAATAATATTCGCAACATTCGGATAACTAACATCAAAATGATTGTGCATAATCTTTTAGAGTGTTGATCATTAACGAAGTTTTCTAGACCCCTTTCGTGAATATCATGCGTGCTCTACCAACCGCACTCATCTAGAAGAAACTGTTCAACTTGAGTCATTAAAATGCAATACTTTATCTGTTTTGGTATTTGACACCCACTCTGTAGAATAGAAAATCATAATTGGAAATCTCATATGTTTAACACGCGTTATTAGTTGTCAAAAAAGTTTCACATAACTAATGCACAAAAATCAAGGATGGATGAGGAGTTGATGATATAAAAGGTAACAGGGATGGAAAAAATTACATAAAAAATGCAAAGATTGAAGCGAACATAATGAATGGAGGCGTACTGAGGTGGAATGAAGATGTTAGAATAATGAGGGACAATCTACGATCAAGCTGCTAGACCTGACAATGATCAGGATTTTGGTTCGCTAAATGAACGACGCAGTACCCGCGATTCAGAGGCAAAATATGTGCCTCCACAGGATTAACAACTGGGCTAAACTAATATACAAAGAGGTCAAGTAGTGAATCAGCAAATTCAGGTAACAAGCTTGATGTGAAGCGATAAGATCATGATATCAGACCACATAACCTCAAAACGCAGCCGAAGCCATGCTTCCATTTTGGACATTCGGCTTCCATGAAGATAATTCAAATCATACATTGAAAGCAATTAGCGTTTTCCTCATCGTTTCTTCGGTTTTTTCTTCGCCTTACAGCCACAGTAGAAAAATTCGTCATCAGGGGCTTCCTCACGTCCAAGAATACAGATATTATGGAACCAATTCTGACAGTCGTCGCAGAAAATCTGAATCACACTACATCCTTATCGGGAAAGCAACAAAAATAATAGCGCGTGCGACAATTCTCCAAGTTTAAGAGCAGTAAATGACCAAACGTAAGCTACCACTTTCTCTCGTGCATGCAGCCTAACAGGTGGATACAGAAACAACATACCCATCCAACTTGTTCGCTCTGCGGCTTTGTACATTCACCATTCAAGGCACACGTTGTTTGTGGATCATGCTGTGTTACTGACTCGTCTTCATCAGTGACCACTTCTTGCTTTTTCTTCGCAGGCTAAAGATTTACTCGATAAAAACAAGTACGTAAGTGGCAAGAGATGCTCAAGACACCCTTAAACCTACCCTTCCTTTCTTCTTCACAGACGTGTTCGATGAAGCCGACTTCCTCTTTTCGGTAAGCTTCTCGTTAGACGAGTAACGTCGTTTATGCCCTTTCTTGGTTGCAACACGATCATCCGAATCATAATCAGAGTCAGATGAGCGGCTAGATGACATATCTGATGCAGATTTCCCTGCTGCTTTCTTCTTCTGTAATTTAGAAGTCTAAGCGCCGGACAAAACGATAACCGAAGTATGCTATCAAAAGCGTGCAATACCGGTTCGGTCCTCTTCTTTTCAACGGCTTTTCGCGATGTCAGAGGTGACTGTTCCGACTCGCTAGAAGACGCGGAGCTGCTAGAGTCATCGCTCAACTGCTTGAGTCGCCTTCGGCCGGGCTTTGAAGATGCCGGCGTCGCTGATGAAACGGACGAAGACGAAGCGAATGATGCTCGTTGGTCTCTTGATCGCTCTTTCTTCTTTAATTTTTCCATCTACATCAAACTTCTTAACAACTGCAAATATGGACAAAACCTACAAAACGTTTCTACCTTTTTCTTTTCTTTCTTGCTATTTCTTTCAATGATGATTTCATCAGTTGGTCTCCTCGAAGTTGAAGAAACGCGTCGCACAGTGTTAACCCAAGAGCCCTCGCATAAGTCATCCAGAAGACGAGCGATCTTAACACCAGCATAGCATAGAATTTTGTGAAATTGTCTCTCACCTCATTTGCCTTCGTTCTAGGACGCGAATGACTGGTAGCGGAAGCACGAGCTTCTTTTGCGGCTTTCTTTTTACTTTGCTCTTTCTCCTTTTCTTTCTCTTTTTCCTTCTCCTTCTCCCTCTCCTTCCCATCCTTCTCCTTTTCAACATCCTTTTGATCTTTATCCTTTTCATAATCCCTATCTTTTTCAGTATCTCGTGTAGCCGTACTCTCCCGATCTGGTGAGTAATCTCTCGGCCTGGGGGATGGAGTGCTATCCCAAGGAGCTGGAGCTGGCGCTCGAGGTGGCTGCGGTGAGTCTGCGAAGCTGCGCTCTGATCGCACATCTTCTGAAAAGTGACAATGATTTGATTTGCGTATATCACAACTCAAAAGTTACTTTGTCGACCTTCCTTCCTCAACGGGGAGACGTTGGAGCGAGAGACAGGTTGGGCGGAAGAGGCGTTGGAAGTTGATGCAACTGATGTTTTTGGTGGACTGGGAACCGAGCTGTCACACTCCATTGGGGGAGAAGCTACAGGAATCTTTGCAACAGGTGGCGGATCAGGCACCTAAGAAAGATTATTAGCTCGAAATTTACTTTGTCATCTACACATACATGGGCTGTCGTAGACGTAGCTGCTGAAACCGGCTCCGGGCAGCCAGAAGGCAACTGAAAACAGCATTCATTGCTTTTAATAAACAATTCTTAGAGACCTACCCTAGCATCTTTTCCTATTACATTAGCTGGGATGTTCTTCTCATCGGTTGGCATAGGATGATGCTGTTGTTGTTGTATCTGAAAATGAAGCCTTGAAGGACGACTGCGCCGGTTGGAACATACGAAGACATGAATGCCAAACACCTCAAAACATTCAAAGACGTTGTACAACATACAAATTTGAAAGTTTTTGCTAACGGGTATATAACCTTACGTGCCTGTTGCGGTAATTGCTGCTGATGATGAATTTGTCCCTGCTGTTGATTAGACGCAGATGGCGCGGCAGGCGTTAGCAGCGAATTCACCAAGGCATTATTCTTGAAATGACGGCTGGCATTTCAGTGAGTATAACACTGATTTAAAACTCGCACCTGGAGAGCGAAGCCTCGTTGAGTGAGTGGAAAGAGGGAGGCAGAAGTAGAGGGAGGACCATTCGATGGTCCCATGCACGCTGTTGCTCCGAAGACATCAGGTACTCGAAATCCAGACTGCTGTTGGGAATGTACGGCCTGTTGCGATAGCATTTGTAGTTGTTGTGCCCACTGTGGATGCTGAAACACAACTCAGTTAATAGTGCCCATAACACTGTAAGTGAAAATAGGGTCGCTTCATCGTCACGGGCCGTCAGTAAGTTTACAATGAAGCTCAAAAATGCCATGTCTTGCGAAGGATGTAACAGAAGTCTCCGTTAATCTTACACCCTACGAAGTTGCATTTGCTTGAAAAGGTCAGTTTGACCGATGAGAATCCAGGCTTCTTCGAACAAACTAAGAAAACCAAAATCTCAAGTAAATTTGCTTGATTTGGTTTGAGATTATAGAGTTTGGTGCCGATTAAAAAACAGTGACAAAAAATCATGAATACTGCGGAAGAAAACTTAGTGCTCCTAAGATATCTTTGAGAACCCACAGAATGTTATTTTGGATAACCACAGAATGTTATTTATTAGCAGTAAGACGGTCTGTTTGCGGGTTTTTTACTCCGCTTACCTGTAGATAGGCAGGATTTACGGGGAATCCGCTATATGGAAAGCCAGGCAGTGACTGGTTGTATCCAAGAGCACCTGGCCAAACCAGACCTGCCATGGGGTTGGTTCCAGCAGTGGAGACGCTTGCCGTAGTGCAAGGAGCGTTTATCTGAATATAATGAAGATAGCAACAAAACAACTGATCAATGAGACTTACATGTTGTGATATATTCTGATTATGAGGAGGCTTTACGGACTGCATGACGGTAGGACGAGCAACTTCACCCTAAAAATTACAATCGAAGTAGCTCATTATTGAAAAGCTGTATGAAATGCAAACTCACGTGATCAATAGTTCTTCCTTCTATTTCGGTACAGTATTCTGTATCTCCCGAGCAAGTCACAGGGCGTACACGTCGACCGTCTACGAACCCGATGTAGTCGTAGCTCGGATTTGCTCTCTCCACCATAAATGCAAACTCAGCATTGGCCTGAAAATCGATGTTCATACAAACTGATACGAACCTGATTCGCTCGTTCAAAGGCCGTCTAGGTTCTACAAAGCATTTCCTTTGTTCGCTTGCGCATAAATGGACAAAGAAGGCAATAGCGTGTTGGCCAATTTCTGTCTCACCTCTAGGCCAGCATTTATTTTTAGCACAGCTTGTTCCTCAGGGAATCATCTAGCTTATATACAAAATGTATACAGTAAGTCTTTTCAGTCAATAATGCACTTCTCTCCGTTTTCTCATTCTTCTACCTGACAAGCTAGATACAGCGTCCCTGCGGATTTTCAACTAATAAAATTGAAGCTGTGTATGGGCATGATAACTTCTTGACATATTCACGGACATTGGTGCCCAGCTCTAAAACAAGCTCTCAACCTGATGAAAAAGAAGAATTCAAAAATTACTATAACACATTGTGAACGCGTATAATAAAAGACCCAACTCTTATCTCGAAACTGCAAGGATCTTACTGTAATTTAACCTTAAACTACATATGCTGAATTTGTGGACCAAAAATAATCCTGAAGAACCCCGATTTTATGAAGCAAGTAGTCACCAATGCACCTACTATTCTGTTCCTGGGATTTTCCTCGTTCTCTACAACCTCATTACAAAAACGAATTAGCAACGTAGGGACTTACACCTTGAACACGTTCAGATTAATCCCTCACAGATGTAAACCGCTCAATACCATCGTTATTACGAGCGTGTATGGGTGACCTGATATTCTAAGCTGAGAAAGCGCGAAGAAACAGCAGAGGTTTACAGAAGCAATGCTTCAATAAACTTTCGACCCTCCCTTCTGCGTGTAAGCTACCCTGTTGTCAAAACGGTCATCGGTTACAATTCACTGAATACATCGAAAAGCATTTTCGCAATTTTTAGATTCAAAAGTACCATATAAAGGACGATGGAAAAGTGCAGTGCACGGTAAACGCGATATCTCTGCTGAACATTTTCTGCTAGTAGAAATGAAGCATTCAAAAAATTAGTTTGCAGTGTGATAGTCTTCGCGCTCTCATGTCAATGAGGAGTGGCATGGGTAAATGGACTTCGACTAACTGAAATGAGAGCACTGTAACGTTGCAGCGGTTTTCTATTGCCCTAGTTTATCCAGAATGAACCTGAGAAGTATATAGTACTAGCAGCAGGAACAATCTCGATACTGCGTGAACATATCACTCTCAAAATTTTTGGACAAAAAATATCAAGTTCGATTCAAAACCAAGTTTGCGAAATGCTCGACGTCGAGTATCAATGATACGCCACCGAAGTCAAGCATAACTTGAAGCGTATACATTGAGTGAAAGAGAGCAGGCTCGTAGGAATTTATTCCAATGCTTCCTTGATAAATGAACTGTTTTGGAGAACCACTCCCTGATAAAGTATTTACAACGGCTGGCTAGTAGTTCAGAAATGTGAAAATAGAATACTTCTCAACAAAGAGCAAGATTTGAATCGAAGTACGTGAAGCATGGAAACGCAAAACTTTTGTGAATGTAGCTGGAAAGATTACCTGCGGTGCGGTTTGTCCCGGTCGCACTGCTGCTCCATTCATGTGACCAAACTTTATTACATCGCCCTCCATTATTTGCATCGTACTGTTCACCTTAACATTCACATTTCACCGTTAAGCTTGCACTATATTGAAGCGTGAAATAACAACGCTCTCAAAAGGAGCATTTGGCTCAGTTTTCCAACTGTAGTGAAGACACTCTAATGCGTGCTAATTTTCTGTTGCTTGTAGGCGAAAACTGGTCGTTTTCAATGAACATTAACTATTCCTATAGATCAGCTAATTTTGTTATACTTCACTAGCGTCATCGATGGTAACAGGAGAACAGGCGAAAAAGTTAACTTTCTGTACACAGGTATGTTGTCGATGCCCTAGTTTTCTCTCTTTTTGTCCCCATTCTTCTTTTTTCATAGATTTTCTACTCTGGCATGCGCTCCTTCACAAAACTTTTCTTTCTTCGACATACTTCACCGACCAGATGGTACCCTACGTACCTTCAGAAACAGAAGGAGAGATACTGACCATCACAGTGTACCTAGTTACTCCGGCAATCATACGTGATACATCTATCTATATCTTTTCAAGGAAATTCAATTTACTTCCCATACTCGTTTGGTTAACATATTAAAGGCAGCGTCCGGGCAGATACAGTCTGTTTCGACCCGCTTTAGGCGGATATTGGAGGTAGGTGCCAGAGTAAGCGAATATTGTGTTCAGCTTCGTTCAGATGCAAAAGGCGCGCAGAATCAATGTCTGCTGCATAACCTCTACTGCTGCCAAGGCCTGCTTCAGCTGCAGGTCCAGCGCAGAATCAACGTTAGTTCTGTGCGCCTTTTGCGGCTGAACGAAGCTGAACAAAATATTCGCTTAATCTGGCAACTACCGGATTGGCGGGAGTCCGCCTCGCAACAGCTCGCGCCGTTTCGCAGCTACAGTATATCCTATCGTGTGCTGAGAACCCATGTCTGCGTCTCTTCAATTCCTTAGTCTTTGCTTGGCAAAATGCCAGCGCTATGCGCTCGCAAATCCTCCAGCGATGCGCATGCGCTGCTCCACGTAGAATGTCTCGCCTAATCCGAGATGAAACCGACTGTACGAAAATGTAGGGCGCCCGTCCTGGTAAGCTCTTGCCTAAGTGGCAATGCCCACTTGCTTCTGAAGCGAGAAATCCGCCCCAAAAGTGGCGACCGGAACGCCCCGGCGACCGGGACGAGTTAGTACGATAGGCCAGAGTGCGTATAGGTAAGCAGGAGGCGCGCAGAATTAACAGATTGACTGCGCAGATCTAACATTAAATTTGCGCACGATTGCCTGCTTTAGCTGCAGGACCGCGCAAAATTAATGGTAATTCTGCGCGCCTTCTGCAGCTAAATAAAACAGTCGCTTAGTCTGGCGCCTACATACCATACCGCACACAGTCGAGACGTAGGGTCCCACAAAGACTCTGCATCTTAACCTTGTGGTAGGCGACAGAATTGAAATCGAGAGCTTTTAAAAAGTCTCGGCGTTTTTGTGCCCTCCGAGCTGCATTTTCAGAATCACCGGAATAAGTCCAGGTAAGCGAAAAAAATTCCATTCGAAATTTTGCCCGGACGCTGCCTTTAGACCTTAGCGTTATTTCGCAAACTCGCATAGAGTAAATCCTTTCTATCGCTCAAGAATGAATGCAGATTCTCCTAACACGCTTTTGCTTAACTTGTACTACACTACTATTGATTATTGTCTAAACAATAAACAGAGCAGGGCAGCACTCACGAGCCCCTCTCTAGACAGCTTCTTATTTTTCTACTCCTCTAAAGTGTCAGCATGTCATATTATTACATGCTGCTAATTTGGCGCACTGCTCAGGAATAGTACATAATGAATAAATAAGTAATCAGTATGATGAGTGAATAAGTAATCAGTTACTAAAATAACATATCTCAATAAGATTAGTCACAAGTTCTGGAAAATGGATCAAGAATATGGAATCTTACAAGGGACCATGAAAGTGTAAGATGCTGATTTTAAGACAATTTCTGAGAAAAAATATATAAAAGAAGAACGAAGGGATACTCACTCTCTGGTCGTTGATATATGTTCCGTTGAGTGAGCGATCATTGATATGATATTTCTCAATCCTCCCACTGGCACCCTTCACGCCGATTATATCAGCATGATCTCTTGAAATCATGTTCGACGAGCTGAAAAGCACGAGTTAATGAAGAGTATGCTGACATAGAAGGAAGCAAGCTGTCAGAAAGCAAAACATAACATCGTTCAGTGCTAGTTTCGGTTATGCTTCAGTTACTATAAATAAGCGTCTTTAAAGTCGAAACTTATCATACTACAATGATACATGCGACTCAACCTTTGACTCTACCGGTAATTCCAAAACAAGGTCTTAAGAGCAAGTTACATACAAAAAAGGAAAGAGCATACAAACACGAAAGAATAATTTTCAAAAAGTTTACCAATGGCTCGCTAAGGGAAGTCGGCAGTATAGAGACACCATATGGTGGATATGGAACGTGTGATGTGACGCACCTTTCGATATAGATGCTGGATCATACCAACAAATACCGTTCGCACAATGCATGGGCGGATCGCTGACAATACGCAAGCTACGACTAACGTTGCATAAGCGGCACGATTTGGGAACATAGACCGCACAATTATTTACAGAAAAATGTTGAAAAGTTGGGTACTAACCATATTAGACGACCCACAAATGAAAATCGCGGATCGCTAAAACTTCGCCTAAGGCCTAAAGGGCCGGGCATACTTCACGTGATTTCGGTCGCGACGCGATTTGGCAATTCGCCAGAAGTCTTCAGATCCAACACTAACAAACTGCACATGCATAGTGTGTATAACTTACCTGAACTGATAAAATGCCCTACCTTCTGGGCATTTAAAAAGTATTTGCAGTGAGTTATGGACAGTTGGAATATTGCCAAATCGCGTAGCGACTGCAATCGCGTGAAGTATGCCCGGTCCTTAAGGCATACCTCGCGCAATTCCTGTCGCTACGCGATTTGGCACAACAGCACTCTCTGTAGCTCGTCGTTAATGCGTTTCCTTTGGTCAGAACTTAAGCCAATTGCAACAACTTACACAAGCTATCCGCCTATGCATTCGAGAAGCGCGCACGATAAATTTGTAGAAATCTGGCAAATCGCCAAGTCGCATGAAAGTGGCGATTTGATCAAATCGCGTGAAGTATGCCTTAGGCTTAAAGAGGAAGTTTTAGCGAAATCTGCGATTTTCATTTTGGACGCTGATTACGAGTGACACACTTATTTCTCGTTGTAGTGCCATTCCGTGGAGTTATGGTAGGACGACTGTAAGGGATCAAAATTACGGAATTGTCCCAAATTTCATCTAAGGGGGTTACTTGGCAAGGTGAACACATATAATATCAAGTTCAATTCGTATGTTAGCGCCTTTCCTCGGTTTACGGTGGTATAGGTAGACGACTGAAAATCTCGAATTCGCTCAAAAACTTTCTTGAATGAGTTCTTACGTACGCCGATTACGAATATCATGCTCTTTTTGCGTTTTGGAACTTTTTCGCAGAATTACGATAGGTGTACGGTGGGCGGCTAAAGTGAATAGATCTGTTTGAACCTTCGTGCAGGGATGTTAACTGACGTGCTAATCACGTATATTGCACTCGTCTCGCACGATAAAGCCTTTTCGGGGATATTTGGGATCTAAATTTGACTGATTTGCGGAGAAGTTGCCCTTTCACACACTGCAGCTCATCGTAACGCTAACAATAACGCACTGTTGCAGCGAACGAGCATAATATTTGCAATCAGCATGTTTAAGAACCCCTCGAGGCAAAATTTCGAGCAAATTCGGGATTCCCTCCCATCTACCGTATCCTACTGTAACCCGAAAACCGTAGGAAATGAACGTAACATTTATGTCAAGCTTGCAAATTAACCCACGAAGTTTTGGGGCGAATCCGTGATTTTACACCCTACCGTATCTCCACCAAATGGCACTAACATGGAAAGAAAGTGTGATATTCGTAATCAGCGTGCAAGATAACTCCTCTAGACGAAGTTTCAGCAAAATCCGCGATTTTCATTTAATGGGCCAATCAATGTGGATAGTGCTGAAAGTTATTCCAAATTGTAAACTAGCTCTTTTGAAATTTTTGAAATAATGCCTATGGGAACGGTCATAGGTTGTCGGTGTTGTCCGTGTTGTCGATGTTGTCGGTGTTGTCGATGTTGTCGGTGTTGTCGGTGTTGTCGGTGTTGTCGATGTTGTCGGTGTTATCGGGGTTGCCGAGGTTGCCGGTCGTTGTAGGACCTCATGATAGCCTTTACGTTTCGCGCGCTCTCTAAACTGTCTCTGACCCCGACAACCCCGACAACATCGACAACACCGACAATACCGACAACATCGACAACACCGACAACATCGACAACACCGACAACATCGACAACACCAACAACACCGACAACCTATGGCCGTTCCCTATAGGGGTCTGCAGGATCGCGAGAGTCGGACGTGCGTACGGCCATCGTGCCGCGCGCGTCAAATGTGCGTCCGACGGCTCAGGTAAGTGCCAGACTTATTCGTTGAACAGGTTCATTCGGTTCACCACCCTTGCTGTTGGACAGTGTAGTGATTTGACCTATGAACCGAACGAACCGGCTGAAGCGGATAAGTCTGGCCCCTGCCTCAGTGACATCGAACTTGCGCTGGGACCGCCACGCGGTTTGGGCTAGATTGCATCCGCGCGCGCTGGGACCGCCACGCGGTTTCCCGCTACTTGCAAATTTCTGAATTGCGCTTACTTTTCTTTATATATTGGATCTATGGCAGGCAATAAAGAGAAAGCAAAATTTTCTTTCTATTTCCATGCAGAAGCTTGGGTAAAAGGTTAGGAGCAGGACCAGGCATGTGTCGACCTCGAACATTCTTACAAAAAGTGCACGATTTTGCCGAAGTACCTTTTGGAGCAATGAGATGAATTGGATTACAAAAACTAATTGTAATGAACATTACTGTTTGTTCCAGAACTGAGTTCCGTGAGAAGAAAAACAACGATGGTCATAAATGCTAGCAATAAATATAGGAAAAAAGCATCACTCTAGCTTGTTGAGCTAATGTAGGTGCCAAAGTAAGCGAATATTTTGCTCAGTTTCGTTCAACTGCAAAAGGCGCACAGAATTAACGTTGATTCTGCCCGGACCTGCAGCTAAAGCAGGCCTTGACAGCAGTAGAGATCATGCAGCAGACATTAATTCTGTGCGCCTTTTGCATCTGAACGAAGTTGAACAAAATATTCGCTTACTCTGGCACCTACCTAACAGAGATAAACATCCACTGTCTTCCCCAGTGAATGCGCCGAATGTTGGAGGGTCCCGCGCGGAAAGTGCAACAGATACTCAGCCTGTGCATGTATTGGAATGTATTTAACACATTGACGACAACGCGAATCTTTGATTGTCTGCTTCTTGACCAAGACCTTTCACTTAGCAGTCAGCATTTTTCAGATAAAATCACGCGTACTGTCATTCACAGTTATCTACGGCAGCTGTGGAAGGCTCACAAATGAGATAGGAGTCATTTCTAAATTCACAGCAAAAGGGAACTTCTGGAATGAGTTTGTACTAGGATAATCGTTATTTTAACGAAGTTCAAGACTTGAGGTCCCACGTAGTAGCCATTGCCTGACACACATGGTGTGTCAAGCGGTCGTCAATGTGTTGATACAGATGTCCAGCGGGATCATCACTTTCGGCGACATATAGTCCCCTACCCTCACGATGTCAGCCGCGAGGCATTTTGGGAATACTCCAGTTACCCACACTCATTGTGCGCGCATCCCAAATGTGCCGAGAATGGGTAATTTACCAACCTACGAAGGTTTAAGAAACTATGCGTCTGCGGTCTGCCTGTGTTAAATGACATCTGGCAAATTCCCAGATCGCGTGGGGATACTGAAATGGCGTGAGGTATGGCCAATGCCTGTAAAAGAGTTTACCTCACTGCAAACAAGACATTTGGTCATTTCAGCATCGATCTGGATTTGGCGCGCTTGTGAGAAAACAAGTTAGGGCATGTCAGTCATGCACCAACTTGTGATGAGCGCCTGGAAGTCAGGTGTACGCATGTTCAACATGTTTTACGATATCCCTTTTGGTTTTCACCCAATAAACGGTCGGTCTAGTTCGACTCCATTTTATGCACGGACTCTGGTTAGGACGGCACTTCTCGTTATTATACACATCTTTGTCGAAACTAACTCTTATCAATCCGTCAATGTTTTCATGTTTTGTCGCGTACCGTTCCTCTCTTTTAATGATGTGCATATTCTTGGAACAACCTGTTCATTCTTGTCCAGAATATCTACTGAATTGTTGCACAACCAAGATGAATCTCACTTCATAATCGCCGAAACTTCCACTTTCTGCGAGTTTTGTTTCGATAATATCGTAAGAAATTATGGCAGTCTGTTCTAACAGAATGGTCGAAGCATCCCTATGAAAAGTAGCGCACCGCTTCGATAGAAGCTTGCGCGACATGGAGGCGCAGCGCTGGCATGCCGCCAGCCCGAGCGCATACCAGGCCAGCATAGGTGTACTAAAGTCTTGACTCAAACATGCAGATAATCAACATTGCAGACATACCACCCCTTGGTTCACCATCAGGCTGATATATTTAGGGCAATCATAGGGCGGGCCATAGCGAAGTGCGTGCGCAATTTGGGAGGTAGAGGACTATCTGTACCCGAAAAGGGGGCGCTTGTCATTTGCTGCAAATACCCCGACCTTGCACATGCACGGAGGTGCTATTTGCATAAGTCCGCGCGGGACCCTTCCCATTCGGCGATATGCAGTCCTTTACACAACAATTTCGGCAGCACCACCTTCATTACTTTCGTCTCATATCCTAGATGCTTGAAGTTACTAACAACGACTTCAGATAGACTGATGGCAGCGGAGATCGGCCTTTTCAATCGAAGTGGCCTTTCCACGACCCTTATATCACTTTGTAGAGCACTGAACGTTGATTTTTAACCTGTCTTCCTTTTCTGCGAAACAACTCTCCGAAGAAAGTTATGAGTGTTTAAAAGTGAATTTGTCAAGCGTTAAGTGGCAATTAAATAAAATTAGCGAGAGTAAAAACATATGCAGATTTCCACAAGCTGTTCCCTTTCTTACAGTCAGTATCAATCAAATTTGATTATAAGCTCCTGCAAATCAAAGGCGGTCGGTTCGATGTGCGACGTCGGAGATCGGCCATACTATTCCTACGACTCCTGCGATTCCTGTGAGTCCCGCACAGTTTAGACGCCGCTTAATGAGCGCGTGTTGCGTAAAACAACACGCAACACGCGCTCATTTAAGCGGCGTATAAATTGTGCGGGACTCACAGGAATCGCAGGAGTCGTAGGAATAGCAGGAATAGTATGGCCGATCCCGTGGTTGTAACGCGACTGTGACGCAGCCGTGTCGCAGCCGCATTGCACATCGAGCCGACCGCCTTCGTCTTGCAGGAGCTTATACCTCCTTCAGCTGTTTTTGTATGGCTTTTCGCTAATTTTGTGTCGCATAGAGCATGACAAATTTGAACTTTCAAACACTCATAACTTCTGTTGCAGGTGTTCCACAGAGACGGAAAGCAGATTCAGATTCAGCGTTCAAAATCGCATCTAGTGATACAAGTGACATGTGGGAACGCAACTTCGACTAAGAAGGCTTTTCTTGTGAGCTGAGCACTGTAGAATTATCTTTTGTATGCGTGGTTTATGCCCTTCTGGCGTTTGCGTGGGGAACGCAGCAGCTGGAGCTGTCGTCACGATTTCGCGAAGATCTGCACATTGACAATGTTCTAACGTGTTTCTTCATAAGCGCAGAATCTCAAAGTAGTGCTAAAATAAATAGATCTATTGTTTTTCTGCGCAAAGTAGCATACCACGGTATGATATTCGATCGTTTTCTTTATATCATTCATGTTTTCAGTGTGCGCTTTTTTCCCACCACATATTTCCTTTTGTGCTTTTAGTCTTCATCTTCTACCCTCGATGACATAGCGGTCATGATGACGTACAAAAACCACTTAGTATCTGGTACTTTTTGCTTATCTAGAGTGATAAATGCGGCATGCGCCATATATACTTGGTCCACTTAATCCACCTGGTTCACTTCATCGATTTCGCTATCGGTCAAATCAGCTAACAGACCAATAGCAAAACAGATGTTTACATGATCCACTCCACTTCGCTATTGGTCAGTTCACTGACTTGATCAGTAGCTTGGAAAGACTGTAAGATCATGATCAGCATAAGATCAGCATTAGATCAGAGTTTGGAGTGGTCGGATCTTGAAAAAATTGGAAGAAATCTTTACACCACAAACTCTTGTGTATCAGACGTATTGATGCAGTGGTTTCTCTAAGGGAACGGCCATACTGTTCCATGAGGTGATTCCTGTAATTCCTGCAGTTCCTGTGATTCATTCCTACACTTCCGATGTGCCGCACTGCAGAGCGCTTTGTGGACTTCAGTATACATTATTTTTTCGCAATATACATTGTTGCGGAACCCGCAGGAATCACAGGAAATGCAGGAATCACAGAAATAATATGGCCGGTCTCTAAGAGGTGCACAGGTGCATTCGAGCAAATTACGCGTGAGGGATTATTACCATGCTTATGAGCGGATACCAGTGCAAAGAATTTGTTCCCTACTTAAAAAAAATTCAACAAAGTTCTGCTCAGAAGGAAATTCCAGAGGTATGAGAAAGAATCGAAACGATAAGAGAATGCGTCTATGAAGGGAAAAGGTGTCACGGTATCAACATGGCAGCCACTGCAACAAGATATAATCGAAATAATCGGAGGTAGCCTAGGCAACAAAATGGGATTGGCCCGAATATGAGGCAGTAAACAGTAGCGAAGTAAACAACCAAACGATTTCTTACCTGAAAACGGAGGATGTTAGAACTACATCGCATTTCTCCGGATTTCTTCCAAATTTCGTAAATGCATCGAGTCTATAAAAAAATAGATTTCGAACGCTTGGAACTTCACACACATCAGCATACAATATCAAAGTAGCTTCGACTCCTCTTGATGGATCCGAACGGCATTTATTAGGAGGGATCCGCCGCAAGTGAAAGAGATTCTGGCTAACATTTGAAGAACCGGGTGCCATTTTTCACAGCTCTACTGCGGCAATGATAGCAACTCTGATGTTCAGTCAGGGCTCATAAGCTGAAATGCAAGTCGAATGAGTAATGGCATAAAAGATACCGTATCGCGGCACGATAAAAATAAATACATCTGGGCTGAAAACTCGAAGATGGAAACAAGTTTAGTTTCATGCCCATGGAAAGTAATTCCAGCAGAACAAGAAGTGATCCGGTCCTAACGAAAATGAACAGTGGGCACTCGCACGCCTGAGAAAACGCACCGTCACCGTACACTAAGCTGCAACAACTCTTAATAAAACTCCTTTCACATACAATGAATTAACAAGTCAATTAAAGTCTCAGAATCCCATTGTCCCACTTGTCTGAACGAGAATGGCTGTGAAAAGGCTCAAACATCGATACTTCAAGACTAACGAGATATGCCTCTCTAGTCCAAGTGGCCATTTGAGATGAGTTATATGTTGCTGAAGCCAGCGATGGATGCTGATCTCGAAACTGCTATTCTTTTCCGTGAAACCTTTTTTGAAATTACTGTGGCGACAATTGAAAATTGCAAATTATATTCCATACCAAGTTATTTGTTGAAGGCAGTGTTTGGGCAGAAACTCGATTTCAAGAAAATCCACTTACGGGGGTTATCCGCAGCGCTGAATCCGAAAATCCACATTAGAAGGCGCGAAAACGGCGAGAACATACGTCGTTTTTCTTGCTTTAGGTCGAGTGTTATGACGTTGCACTTAGCGATGTTGTGTTTAAGGGGGGCCACTCTCGCATGGCACTGAAATCCCATAACCCCCATCTTGCCCGGACACTGCCTTTAACACAGTCAAACTTTTGTATAAAAAAAGCATTTCGCAGATGAGAATTGCAGTTTTAAAATTAATTTAATCACTGAATCAAGCAACATGTACATATTTCACCTTAGATGGCCATTTCGTAAAAAGGCATTCCTTGCTCAAAATTACGCTAGCCGTCTGTCTGATTTTGTTTGGGACAGACTGTAGAAAGTATTTATAGACTTTTTTGGAAGCCTGAAATGATAGAAAGAATTAAGGGATTGCCAAAACTCGCATACATAGATACCGAGCAAGGCGTATGTAAATAAGCTATTTCTGGCAAAAATTTACTGATTGGTCTCACCAATTTATTGATTTTCCGAGTTCTTTACTATAGAATAGTACTGGCTGGCATGTCGATCTGTTGACTTTTTTTGCAATAAACTCTCTCGCAAGCTAAAAAGTGCCAGAGTTGGCATGTTTATATCAAATGAAAAAATCTCCATCAACCCCCTTACTGACCGCTTCAGTTTGATTCTTTCGCAGTTACCGTTTCATTGCCGCCTAGCGGCGCAGAGCGGCTGATATTATACAGGGTGTCCCAAAAAAATGTATCGAACGTTTGATCTTCAATAACTTCCCTATATGGAAAGCTTTCGCGGATCTTTGAGTGTGATACGGTAGAGCTGGGCTCAACTTAGATTTACAGTATAGGGCGAATCACCGATTTCTTTCAGTCAGTGTAGGATTACGGTAGGAATTTGAGCTAATTTGAAGCTTCTGATAGGCGAGAACTGCTCTTGAAAAAATTCCAAGAAATCGAAGGACGTTAAAGTGAGGTTTTTGGGGATGCTGAATCTAATCACAAAGTTTCCCGCTACCGTACTCCTCATCTTCTTACGGTATGCGCACTGTAACGCTAAATTTTTTCTTGTTTTCCAAAATCTACTAAATCAACGTTGCAATTACAAACACGTCGTCAAAAGCCTTCGCGTTAGCCAAAGCGTTACAGTGCCCATATCGTAGGAAGATGAGGAGTACGGTAGCGGGAAACTTTGTAATTAGATTCAGCATCCCCGAAAACCTCAGATTAACTCCTTCGGTTTTTTTTGGCATTTTTTAGAGGCAGTTCTCCCCTGTCGTAAGCTTAAAATTAGTCCAGATTCCTACCGTGATCCTACAGTAACTAAGAGAAGTCGGTGATTTGCTCTATACTGTAAATCTAAGTTGAACCTAGCTCTACCGTATTACACTTAAAGATCCGCGAAAGCTTTCCATATAGGGAAGTTACTAAAGATCAAAAGTTCGGTACATTTTTTGGGACACCCTGTATATTCACGTTCTCTGCGTTCTTTCTTTCACTTGGGTAAGACCTTCAAAATGACGTGATGCTCAGGTTTCAATCTTCGCACAGAGTTTGGTCTAAAGTCTCTGAATGAATTATATGGCACGCGCCATTGCTGATCCACTTCACTATTGGTCAGTTCACTGAATTGACCAATGACGAAGCGGATCAAGTATGGCGCATGCCTATGATGAAAGACATCCGGAACTCAAAATTCTGCAAGTAGAGACAGTACAGACAGCCTAGTCATCTTGCTTCTCAATTTGCGAATACTATATTGCGCGCACTCATCGTGAATGCGACTGGTTTTCAATACATGCTCATTATAATCTTCACTGAATGCTTCTTTGGTATTTGAAAAGAAGGAAAACCATGGAAAAGACGTGTGAAAGACCTTTTCTTGGAATTCATCTCTAACGCTCACAACATGCTGGATGACGCAAGCAATACTGATTTTGTGTGCATTGCACAATATACAGGTCGGAATAACTCCACTCTAAACAAGCGTGCGGATAAGATCAAGCTCTCCCTTGCTGATTTTCTATAGTAAGTACTAAGACGGCAGTCCATTACGAATTTTTTACAAATATAAGATTTCGTACCATCCTTCTATCAACAATGAGATCAATACTGATCTTGTGCTGTGCACAACCGCGTCTCCTCTGCAATCCAGAAATTTTCATCAACAACCACGTACTGTTTGCAGTCATGCAGAAAAAAGCCCTTGCAGCCGACATGCTAAGGCCAAACATACGACCAAAAATTGCGCTAACAGCTAAGTAAAGAGAGATAGCGCTGCAATATGCAAGAAACAAAACGATTTTATCGACCTGATAATCAAGATCGCAGAGCGTTGTCGTTGTGTACTCCTCCAAAGAGAAAACGACGATCCCATCGATTTCTTGTACGTGTGCAAATCATGTGATGAGAGAATGTAGAACAGTTGGCTCGCTGGGCAATATGCCATGGGAGCGGGATCCTAAGCTATGTGTATCCGGGAAAATTTCCGTTCAATAGCATCACAAAGAAATCCATACTGCTAATCACTGCAGACTACTGCCTGGATTTAAATCTTCTTAGATTTCGGTGGCTTTCCCATGCAGAGGTTTTAGTTTTAGAATTTAGGCAGTCGAACTGCCTAGCAGGGACGAATGCGATAAAGGGTTATGTCCGCGACGATACACTTCGTTTCTTCGCATAGAAAAACACTGCTGGTGCAGGAAGAGATCAGATTAAATACCAAACATAAAAACAGGAATGTTTAATTCCCAGAAGCTATTAAGATACTCCTGTCGAACGAATGCACGTCAACAAATTGAGCAAATAATTTTCTGGGAAACCAAAACAACTAAATGAAGAATAGTAAATCAGAATCAATCAGGTAACGTGATTAGCTCTCCATATTGTATATTTGGTCTGCACGAGCTATAGACATAAGAAATTCAACCAAAATTAGCCATTTGCTATTGCCAGATTAATTTTATGAACATTGAAATATGGCGTCGTGTCGATTAGAAGTGCTCGGCGCCAAAAACAAAAAACAAAATTGCATCGATTAACTCAGAATTTGCAGAATATTGTCACTTACTACTTACAGATTCGGAGGGAATTCTATTGAATGAAATTGATATGTTTGCTTTCTAGAGCGCAAAAAAAGGATTGTACGATACCAGGCAAACGAAACACAAATACGAGACTAGACCAGAGGCCCTATGAAGGATGGGGATGGGTAAAAAGATCTCGTCGAGCGAAGAGCGATCGATAGCGTCGACAGTGATGTTGTGCAGCGAGAGAGTGCAGAGGTCAGATAAGTCATCAGATCGATAGTCGTCGACTGGTTCGATGACTATCGATCGATGCAGGACTAGTTTCGAATTGTTCAGATATGGAGCGATCGATAGCCATTACTTTTGAGGACAGGAGAGCGACGAAAGTGGAAGTTTCCACGTCGTCTAATCTTATCTCTTGTATATTTGCCTCTATCGATCATAAGCGTTCGCCAAAGCGAATCACGAGTTGTTCGATGCAAAAATTTCACGTGAAAACGCATTGAAAACCGCAGACAATTCTCATAATGATTGAACTGTTGTTTGTTTGACAGTTTGCATGTGTGACCCAGGTCAGTAAATCTGCAACTTCGCAGTCTATCTTTTACTGTTGCATCATATTCATTCGTTCCAAACGCAGCAGGCCATACGGAGAAATTCAGCTTCAAGGCTTCAGTTTGCTTTTTCTGAGTAAAGAAAGAATGGCGTCACTGGTGATGTGATGCGTGTCACAATGCCATTTTGCAAATGAGTCGTTTCCACCTTGGAACGCGACGACTTCTTTTCTACAAGAAAAACGAGCGAAAAAACGACTTTCACAAAAAGAGCTCGAGTTGCAAATTATCGTCCACTCTGAGACTAGGAGACTCGAGAACGCTTTGCAGACATTGTTACGCGCTCGGACTTATTTTCTTTCGAAACGTTGAGAACTAAAATAAGGCGATGAACATGTTCTAAGTTGTAGGGTACATGTGCGCGCAGTGTTTTCGATTCTGAATGATTTAATGACGGGAAATCGGACCAGTAACAATGATTCCAACCACGTGCATGTATTGAAATAATTGCTCCTGATATTTCTTGGAGATCCTTTAGTTGAATTTTTGCCTGCGAAAAACTGAGGTCGCATTGTTCCAGTACGAATGTGAGCGAGAAAATGAAAGGCTCTAGGCTGAGCTGGAAGGAAATATAAAACTGCCGAAAATAAAAGTGAAGAAAAAAGAATCAATTTTATAGACGGAGGTGAAGCTTAACGTTCGTGAAAAAAAGAAGAAATAAATCAATCCTTGCAATCAAAGAGTTGCTTTACAGACTGGAGGTGGAAAAATTGTTACTTGCACATTTGCGAAAATTGTACCGATAGAGAAGCAATTTATGGAGTTCTCTTTTCAAAACGACGAGATAGAGCGCATTCAGCTGGTTTCAGTGCAAATGGCTCGAACGGCTAAGTGCAAATGGCTCGAACGGCTACGAATTTCCAAGATTTGGAGGAGATTTAGCATCGAATATGGCAAAAAGCTATTGGGAGACGATCATACAGCCGCTGGTTCCACGCTCGGGTGTTTCGCCGCTCGGATGTAGGGCGGTGCGTGGATCGATTGGCGGCGGCGGCAACATAAGTGCGGCTGCTGCTGTTCGTCGTCGAAGAACTGCTGGAACGCGAGCCCAGCCAGCGCAATTCTCTCATCGCAACACTTTACGCAAACAACGCGCATGACTCTGTGAAAACACTCCTCGTTACTACTTCCTAGTACCAAATAAAATTATCTTCTCCAAAAAGCTGGTCACGTGACAGCACTTTATTCTGCTGGTAGAACTTGTTTTTGCAATCTGCACTGCGAATGCCTTAAGACGTGGGAAAAAGTGAGCGATTATTTCGACAGCCTCAGCACTCCGTCTCACCACACCCAGAAAAAATGTTCTACTTGATCCACTGTATAGAAAGGATAAGAACTAGTGGATATCCCTGCCCTGAGAATGCGGTCGCGAAATCCAGTACTTCCTAATAAATTGTGAAACTGTGCCGGATCACTAGGTAAAACTAACTTTTCTAGAATCTTGATGAATAACCAAATCTGTCCTGTAAAAATTTTCTTCTTGGGCTGACCGAAAATTTCGGGACCCATCAAGAAGTTGGGAGTTGTTCAAAAATTTTTTTAAGCCCATGGTTAAAGCCAAGCCTTTAATCCAAAAATTCCGTCGCGAAATTTCTGAAAAATTACCTACATGGGTTATAGAAATGTGGTGACCTGTTTATCCTTCTAAATAATCAGAATAATTTTTAAAATTTTTTGAAAATCTAGATTACTCGTGAAAATTCTTTCCCTTTTCCTAGATTTCAAGGGTTAGAGGTCCGCAAAAATTTGGGAAAGCACTCACAAAATTTTTTCGGTGTGGCTGAGGCCGCGCACCTTCACTTGAAAATTTTTTGTCCCCCCCCCTTCCCCCGCACAGAAATTGGGACCGCCACTGATAATCACCTTTAAATTCAGGAATGTGCTCAATCGCTTTCTTATATATTGGATTGTAATAAAATATGTCTCGCATCAAAAAATTGAGAACTGTTGAGAAAACTATTGAGAAAGTAAGCTTATTCTCATAATCTTCTCTATTTTCAACAAATCGTTGATTTGATCGAGTACGAAGATAGAAGAAGCAGTCATCAGCGCATTTCGTTCAAAATGAGATAAGCTGGCATATCGTGGCGATAGAAGATGATAAGACAAAACCCTCAGATCGCAAATTTTGAAGCACGGTCATTTTAAACTAGAACGTTCAATAAGCCACGTTACACCTCTCCTTGTATATACGCCACATCACATAAGAAGGAAGACATAGTAAAGCTGCTTAGACTAAGCAGCGACATATTTTACCTCGGTAGTGGATATTTGATCAGGCCCTTTGAGTAATTAGAGTTCTAAAGAATTTTCTATTCTGATATGGGCATTTAGAACCGCAGCGTTTGACGGTCGAGAGAGTATTGATTGACAAAGCGCTGACCATTAGATGTAAATAACGAGCGTGGGAACTCGTAAACCGATACGTCCTCAGATTTCTTTGGGCGCCCGGGGCGCATCCTTCGTAAACATTGGTGTGGGCTGGGCTGCTCCGAACACAAACTTCGTTGATACAATATGCATTGAAACTAGTGGATCTTCATCAACAAAGGCATCGTCAACGATGTGTCTATGTAAAAGGCAGTTTTACCTGAAAGGGAACCAAATATATTTTGGGTTGAACCGAAAGTTTGCTTGCCGTATTCTCAAACGTAACTTCCTTCTACCTCAATAATATTGCTACCAATAAACAGTAAACCTTGTACATTTAGAGGTACCTCGAAGGTTCTCTACTAAGTTCTGACAGCAGAGATAAGATGAGAGGGACAGGGCTCGGCACAGGTGGCTTACAAGCAAGCTGGATATCGTTTTTGGGACGAAAAGCAAAGGGGGTTTCGTTTTTGTGAGCGAAGACATACGGAAAATTGACGACGGCGACCTTTTTTTTTAGTCGACGTTTCGTTTTTGGGGGATTTTCGGGAATTTTTCAGGTCTTTAGAAGAAATTTGGTTCAGGGTCAAAGGGGACTTCGTAAAAATTCCCAAAAGTCAAGGGGGACTTCGTTTTTTCCATTTTCATCTAGCCACCTCGTGCCGAGCCCTGGAGAGGGAGTGAGGTCATTGAAGCTTTGGTGAATTTGAGCAAGCCCATCATAAATCTGGAGACCATGCAGAGAAAGCCAGAATACTTACAAAATAGAATAACAGAAATAAAAAAAAAATACAGAATACATACTTACTGTTAGTACCCTAATTTCACGCGTACAGGGCGCGGGGTATTTTCTTCCAAAATCCGCCAGCTCAAACACGCCACAACACTTCGCCACCAAAGAACCCTATACCGGGCTTCGTATTGCCTGAGAGAACTGAACGGTTCAAGGTTCGCTTTCCGAAACAGGTTGAAGCGGTTGAGCGGCTTGTTTGAAAAATCGAAAAAGGTCGCCTTGTACGCGTGAAATTAGGGTACTTGAATTTTAGGAACCTCCACTTTCTAGCTATGCAAAGTTCGTGCCGATGGAGGTATTCTATAAAAAGTTCTGATCTTCGAGAGAATAGCGCAAACCCGCACAATTAATGTTGTAACAATTTCCTCAACCATGAATATTCGTAGACAAGCTCGATCAGTACAAATCTACTCAGAAAGAGTGTGTTCTGAAACTTGCCAAGATTTGTTTTAGATTCTACTAGCGACCCTACGGGTCGCTAGCAAGTGGGTCGGAGCAACTATAATACAGTGCCGGACAAAATATTGTAGGTTCATACTAAAAAATGCCATAACTCACTCTGTTGTCAATATTTACCAGCCTACTATCAGTCATCAAAACGGGTCTCGTTTTCGTATGGTTACTCAAGAAAAAAATCAAAAATTTTGAAAAAAGCAGAATTATAGGTCCACCTGGAGTTTTTACTGATTAAAGCACTTTTTAGCTTTCGAACTCTTTTTAGGTATGTACACACTCAAAAGTGGACATTTGCTTTAGTCAAGTTGTGTCACACCTCCAAAAGGATTGATTATCTGCTTTTTTGCCCAGAAAATGCTTTCACACGTTTCGCTCTAAAAACCTGCGTTGAGTAAGAAATTCTGTTTCTCAGCTGGATTGGAAGCGACGAGGTTTCTCCACCTTCTGGATGCTTTTTGACGTGAGCATTGAGGAAAAAGTCTGACTTTTTACTACCGACACAAATCCGACATCGACATTACTGCAATCCTGAGCTCAAATTTCTGCCTTCAAACTTCATTTGAGATATCCTCAGAAGCATTAACTAAGGTAAAGGCATCGTTTCTACGAAGAGGAGTCTGTATTTCATGGTTACAACTTTGTGGAGATCCTAGCACTCAAGTATAGTTACTAAAATCACCCTGCAGAAATTGGAAGCGAGAAGCACCAAAGCTAACTGTGGCTTCGATCAAATTTTTCAGGAGAATCTTGTGCTAGCGTACAATACAAGCTGTATCCGCTATCCTGTAAATAAATCACTGTCAAAAATCTAAGTGAGGTAGCACTTGGCAAGCTATTTTGAAAGTGAGTAACACCATCATTACGCTGCACAACTCGAGTTCCGAAAAAGAAACGAAGGGGAGGCTTGTGATAAATTGTGAGTATGGCGTACACTTTTCTTTTGTGTAAAAAATGCTTTTACAATATTGTGAGGTTATAATGATAACGCATAAAGGGTTTTAAGGCAGAAACTGAGGCTTAGGCTCCCGAATAAGTCGATGTCGGATTTGATTCAGCAGCAAAAAGTCAGATTTTTTCCCCAGTGATCACGTCGAAAAGCATCTAGAAGGGAGATGAAACCTGTCGCTTCCGATCCAGCTGAGAAACTGCAGAATTTCTTGCTCAACGCAGATTTCTAGAGCAAAATACGTGTGAAAGTATTTTCAAGGCAAAAAAGGAGATAATCAGTTTTTTGGAGGTGTGCCACAGCTTGACTAAGGCAACTGTTCCACACTTTTGAATGTGTACACACCTAAAAATTCGGAAGCTAAGAAGTGTTTCAATCAATAAATTTCAG